CCCGAGAGCCCCCGAAGATGAAGAGCAAAAGAAGAGACACGCGCGCGCGGGGGCACGATCTCTTTTCTCGATGCATTAAAAGATATACACTCTCTTTTGCTTCTTCGACCTTTTGTAGGAGGCAGCGGTATGCCTTGTGGTGTTTCAGCATACACGTGTATACATTATACTCTTTCTTTCTTAGGCCCAAAATCTTGGCACGCTGCAGTCGTCATACGACTGACTTTGTATGAATGGAAAATCCGATGTAGATGAATAAATACTTCTTGATTTTTTACCTATACCGCAGTATATACGTACAGGGGAAATGATACCTGCGCGCATAAATTAAAGGGCCTATATACGCGGCACAGTGTCGGATGTGCGGGCACCCTCTTCATTTCTCTCTTTCTTTGTGCGTATACACGGGTGCGCTTCATTCTTCGCGGGCCCAAAGATGCGCGCGTCTGTACACAATGCAACAGTGTGCCGATTCGTACACACACAAACACTTATTATAGGTATATTATACCGAGTGTTCGATTGAATTGGCCCCATCGATCGGGAGCAATTGACTTGTAATTCAGGACTGAGCGCGCGTGTGCAGTAAGTATACGAGTCAAGAATGTACTTGTTACGCGCTGCGAGCTGCAAAGTCGATGACAGACAGACAAGTGGGGTGATTATCTGTGCATTATGCTGCTTATATAGTCAACAGTTCCTATACACGTGCGCGATATGTATCAATCGTAAAGTTTTCATCGTATAATAGTTGAAATACCTTTACGATGAGTGTGAGATTGCTCTTCTATGACTAAGTAATACAATTTACTATTTTAAACGTTCCGTAAATGTTTTTGTATTTTATAAAATGGAATCTTGATGAATATGAATATGAATATGAACTTAAATAATTAAAAAATGAAAATAACTATGAAATACTTTTCAAAATAAGCCCTCAGACCTACAAAAGAGAGAAGATTTAGTAATCCTCAAAGAAAGAGACGCCTTATGAAATTCTGTGAACAAGTCAGAATCCTGGGTATCGAGAGTTCACTCAGTAATTACATCAGTACCATGAAATGGAAAAACGTTTTATGAAACGTAAAATCTAAAAATGCACTTCTCTAATAAAAAATGTCTCTCCAGGCGGTTTTTTTCGCAGCATATGATATTTTAGTTTCTTCTTCAATTTGCATGAAAAAAGGCACTCAACGAGAAATTTTTTTAGGTTTGACATGAATTTTCAATTTACGCGTTAGCATAAAACGCAGTTTTCTTGACGTTTAAGATAAATTTTTTTCATTGCAGTTTTTGTATAACTCTACAAAATATAATCTAGCAACACGCGCATTCATGAGCAGTGGGACAGACGCGCAAAAAAGGGTTTCTTCGGCTGCCAAGTTTTTCTGATTACAATAAAAACTCGGAGAAAATCAGTTGAGTATCGAGACAATCATGCAATAGGCATATCGACGGTGCAGCACACTCATAATATAACTCTCCATAGGCGATCTTGTTTGGATTGCATTATTATTTGCGAGAAGAGAGAGAGTGAGAGAAAGAACAAGTCGTACATTGAGAAGAAGAAAAAAAAAACGCGGCGGTACAAGCTCAGCCAAGCGAATCCTTTTCTGTATGCCCACATTTATAATATACTTGTTACTACTGCTAGTCGAGCCTATGGGTTGCCGTTGCTGCGTCGCGTACACTGCAACACATTTGCCCTCTGCATCATGCGCTGCGTCCACAGCTGCACACGCGCGCATACATACATAAAATGTGAACTTTTGGCGTCCACAGTCAAAACAAATCGCTTATAAATGTGTAGCTAGTGTATAACATGATATTTACACGTGCAGAGCATTGCTACAGACGTATTCAAATATTTGAAAATGTCTCCCATTGTTTTGCAATGCTGCTGCTGCTAAAACTACTTCCGTCCGTATTCAACGAAACTCGCCATGCGCTCTCACTGCACATTATATGTGGTGCATTTACACTCGCCGCGAAACTGCGGGCACACTATGAGGGTTGCTCTCTCTTGCTAGCTCTCACTCGTTCTTATTCACCGTTTCGCTTTACTTTTATTTTTTTACTTTATTTTACTCATTTGTTTTTTTTTTTCGACTGAAATCAAAGCTCTCAGCTACGATTCTTGTGCGTTTCCGCGTGCGAATACTTATACACGCATGCGTGTATGCATACGCGAATTATTTGTAAATATTATACCACGTCAATGCAACTATGTACGCGCGCAAATATTATATAAAATTGCAGAAGCGCGACTGTTTCTGTATGTAGCGCGGCGTTTGTATACCATAATTCCCGAGACGCAGGTCGTATGTACTATATTATACTTCAGGTACGGGCGTCCGAGGCGCAAAAAATAATCGATTTCTATAACGAGAATTGAGAGTTTTTGCGATTGCATGTTTGTATATGTGCTCGTGTTCGCGTTCCGTCGCGGATACGGACGATGAAATTTCAATAGTGACGCAAGGTGTGGGTGATGCATGTATTTCGTTCTTACAAGTGCAGTGTGGCGATTTTCGAAATCTCGAAAATTGACAGAAAAGTTTCTTTCGTTTGCATCATTTTTTTCTGTTACACATATTAGCAGGACTTGACTGATGAAACATTTTTTTATGAAAATCAATCTAAAATTCACTCATTAATTTAAAACTATCGATATCCCTCGCTCGGTATGTTATTAATTTAAAATTTAGTGAAGCTCAAAAAAGTGTTTTTCGATGATAACTAATAATCAATAAGTTTCGATGGATACTGTATGAAATAGTTGCCGCAGTACATGGAGTATATATGGTTGATTCTCGCGAAGCCTGCTTTTTGCATGTCTTTATGCCATATTCTTAAACTAGTGAAGATAAGCCAAATCTGGCTCGGTCGTTCATTCAATATTGTTGTATTCTTCATAATAGGACATAAATATTTCAATATTTTAGTGCCAGTTAAATTTGCCGTGAAGATATATATGCCAAATGTCACCTCCGTGGCATGTCTAGATCACGAAATCAACTCTGTTTGCATGTACCATGCATTTTCATAAGCACCTGGCCCTATAATAACTACTAGACCAGCTTCTATACATCCAGAGTAAAGTTTAAGTCTATTATAGGGCTTCGAAAAATGTTTTTAAAAAATTTCCCACACAATTGAAAAATGTCTCGGATTTTAATCATGCTTCTGAATAATTTCAAACATACCGCCTGCTTTGGGTCGCTAACTCATTTTTGATGTCGCTAGATACGTAAATGTCAAGTATTATAGCCCAGCTTTCGATTGGTGTAGGTTGCGGGTTCAAATTTTACATTTTATCGATGCTGCGATAATTATTCTATTGAAAAATTCACGTGTGTCAAAAAAACGGTCACCTCCGTGGACATGAATATCTCGAGCTATGATCATTCTTTTTAACCGCTCGCCCCGTCAAAAGACTCGTTTTTCATGACCAAATTTCGGGTTGTGCGGAAAATTTTGTGCGTTTCTTATTTTTCTTACATAGTTTATCAAAGCAGCGATTTGTCACCTCCGTGTGTGTCACCTCCGGAACCGAAAACAGTCAATTTTAAGCATAAAATCGAACATAGTTTTCGTAAAACGAAATCTCAAAGCCCCAGATTCAATGATTATTCATATTTTATGGTTTAAAAAAGGGTGAACTAGTTCGCGCCGTTCAATGTGACAAAAAAATTTTCACCATTTTTTCATTTTCTATAACCGAAAAAGCAGACTTCGGGAGAATCAACCATATAAGTCCTTTTAAATCAGAAATCTTTTTATGAAGCGAGGTAACTCGCGTAGAAATGGTCAACATAATGACTAAAAACGCCAATTCCAAATGTTTTATAGTACAGTATCATAGCGATTTTTCTATTGCAACTGTTAAAAATATTAAGCGCATTTTAAACGATTGGAAAATGACTATTTTTCAAAAAAATGCTACCACGTTTGAACCACTTTAAGCTTCCACCACTAGATGGCGAATATCTTTATCTGTAAATCTGCAAGTGGCAAAGCCAAAATAATTGTATATAAGTCAAAGCAAAATCCAGCATGCATCTTGCTTTGTGAACTGCTAACTTGAGAGCTCAATTGCCCAGAAACAGGCTCCCAATAATCCGTATATTATACAAGTTACGTTGGGCGATCAGCAGCATTACAAAAGTGGAAACGAAAGCTCAGCGATCGCGAGTCTTGGAAAACGGATGTCATAAAGAGCATAGCTGGAAGAAACATACGATGCGCTGAAAAATCGGTACGCACGCAAGCGCGCGTCCGAGGCAACGATCCCGCTCGACTAAAAATTCGGAGCGATCGTGTGCGTATGCTGTACGCGGAAAAGTGTCGTATTTTTGCGAGAAAAAAAATCACTCGATAGCGCCTCTGTATCGTGAGTACATAAACGTGCGCGTATGCGTATTATTATATATCTATATCCATGCAGTGTCTGCAACGAGAAAATAGTGCGAGACAGAAAGAGAGAGAGAGAGAGAGAGAGAGGGAGTAGGGCAGCGGGCGGGAGATTCGTTTTTGCGTTCCGGTCTTTGGCTGGAAAGTAGCGCGCGCGCGTGCGATGGGAAAAAGCGTCGAGCTGCCTGCCTGCCTGCCTCGACGGTGGCGGCGGCGGCAGAGTTTTTGCAACGTCTCCGCCGCGAGTATATACAGAGGAACGAGCGAGCGAGCGAGCGAGACGCGTCCCGACGTTTTTTGCTGCCTGCCTCGTCGTGCACACAGCAGTCACTGCTACTGCTGCTTTATGGTTACGCTATGCGCTGTGCTCTCTCTCTTTCTCTCTGTCTCGTGCGCGCGCGAGGAGGAGAGCATGGGCAAAAAAATCGTCGGCGCCCCCGAGTCCCGAGTAGTAGTAGTATAAGCGCGTTGACGCGAATATCGATCGATCGTCGTCGTCGTCGCTTCTCGAGGTTGCTCGAGGGAAAAAAGCACAGGAGATGCGGAGGGAGAGTCACGATTAAGCCACGGGACGCGACGAGACTCACCGGTGCCGTTGATGTTCCTGCCGAGTATCCTCAACGGCGGAGCCTGACTGTTGTGCGAATTGCTGCTGCTGCCGGTAGATTGCGACGATCTCAGCTGAAGCCCACCAGCTCCGGCTTGGCTGAAGACGTCGGCGACGATGCCGGTCGAAGCGGAGCTGCTGCTGGCCACTACCTGTACCGACTGCTGCTGCTGCTGCTGCTGCTGAGATCCGAGGGGCGAGCAGCAGGCCGCCGGTGCTGTCTCGTCCTGCATGTCGCGCCGCCCGGCATCCGCGCGCCAACCGCGGCTCACTATTTGGCCGAACTATACCAGCGAATTTCCTCTCTCTTCTCTCTCTTTCTTATCACTCGCGCACAATTTTCACCAGCTTTCCAACCGCGAAACAAGTGTTTTAAAAGGCAACGTCGTGTCTCGGGTTTACTCTCCTCGGAGTAACGTCGTCGTCGTGTGTGTATAACAATACACAGTTGTCAGCTGGCGCGTCGAGCGCGTTCTACGCTGCGGCTCCTGAGCCTCTCGATCGCGAACCGAGCGACGACGACGGTGGCGGCAACGCCAGCAGCACGAGAGTATCAAGCGCAAGAAAACGGAGAGGCAACTACTATAACGTGTTCGAGTCCCCCTTCCCTACCCGGGCTGCTGCCGCTTGTCGCGCTCACTAGCAGCCCTCTCGCTCCACCCTGCAACAGAACAGCAGCCCCGAAAAAACGCCTGCCCCTCTCGCCAGCAGCAGCAGCAGCAGGCCCACCCTTATATACTTATAGCTTGGACTTCTTGTGCCACCGATGAGAGAGCTATATGCAGCAGCAGTAGCATAGGCATTGATCCCCCCGCCGCCTCGGCCGCGCTTTTCTGGGGTCCCCACCAGCCGTACTTAACTATATACTAGCCCGCAAGCGAGACTCTTTTTTGCGACGATGTCTCTCTCTCCGCCGCCGCCGCCGCTGCCACTGCTGCTGTTGCTGCAGTTTGCGCGCGTCTTGCGCTTTTGCTTCTTACGACACGGACTGTACTTAGCTCTCTGTGTGTGCCGTGGGATCGAGCTGCTGCTGCGGCTGGCTCCGCTTGCAATTTTTTGCTAGCTTTTTCCGTCCCGTACACTTACTATACAGATGCCCGCGCGCGCGACGGTCCAAACCTATCCTCCGCTCGATATATATAACACAACGTTATGTATATACCTATACTCGTGCTTCTGCTGCTTCTTCTTGTCTGCATAGTTTCCTTGACGTTGTATATCTGTATAAGAGCTGGGAGGGAAGGAGAGAGCAGCATGAAAAACTCGGTGACGATTCATAACTATACGGCACGAGAAAATGGAGCAAAAAATTCGCTACCAGTCAGAGAGACTAGTGGCAGATCAGTAGCAAAGACACATAAACGAAACTCAAAGTTTCATATGCTAATAATACGGAGGCGACGACTAGTAGCAGCATATCCAGTATAGCTCATCCACGCGTGTACAAAAGAATCCCGCGTAACGCACCCCGTAACGATTTTTCTCAACGAGCTCGCTCGGCTGGGCTCTCACTCGTTTTTTATAATATGCGTGTATGCACGCATCGAGCTTAAGAGATGTAAAAATTTAAAAGAGAGAGAGAGAGAAAGCGAGGGTTAATGATAACCGTTGCTCCGAAAAATTAACAAGAACATCGCTGCCGATCGTTATATGGGTACATGCTAAAGCGCGCCGCGCTCCACTCTCGCGCGCAAAAAGATTTTTATAACGATCCTCGCCGTTCTGAGAATGCCCGAGCAGTTTTTTTTTCGGTTTGTTTGTTTGTTCGGGGGCTCGTTTTTTTTATTATACGCACGCACGCAACGCAACGCATATCAGAGTTATTTTATATTGCACACGGCTAGCAGGCACCGTAATAAAATTCGGTTGCAAGTAGTTTTTTTCTTAGAACGTGCAGCTTTTTCATTCCTGCTCTCTGTGTACTTGTTATTCGGAGCAATTGAGAGTAAACGATTTTATACATCGATTTAAAAAATATGACAGACAATTATGAAATTCAATTAATGCATATTTTCAATAAATGAAAGTCTGAAGCAAATACGCACGTTCATCAGCAGGTGTACCGATCAAGAAATGAAATTATTTGGGTTACACTTTTTGCGATCGATACATGTGGAGATCGTTACAACTATGATTATATTTTTGTTATGATTTCTATAAAAATGAAATTATGATACATTAAGAGCCTTGCATAAAAAACATCTTAAAATCAAAAAGACATGAATAAAAAATATTTTCAAATAATTTCACCCCTTTCCATTAGCTTTCCTGAAAATTCAAAAATGTTGATTTCACATTGTATTAAACGGAGATACAGATATTAGCTTGAGCTTTTCTCGTAAACTTTTCGTATAAAATATTGTCTATTTTTGCATTTCCTAGTAATTACATAATCTGGAAATTATCAGTTTTTCCTAAAATTGTTTCCTTTCTCGTGACTCACTTCATTTTTGTTTCGATGCATTATTGTTTCAAAAAAATAAATATATATATTCAAACGATTCGCATTGAAACTAACGAGGAATGAACAAATTTGAGAAAACTCCCAACAGTTCAAAAAACGAACTTGGAACTTGGAACTCAAACAATTGATTTGAGTTTGGTCAACTGTACATCTCTAAGGGAAACCTGAAAATTAAAGTGTCAAATTCAATGCAATTATACTTTTCACAAAACAGAGCGTATCGTGATTCGACTGACACAAGCCCACATTTTATAGAAGAGCCTAGATAAATTCAATATCACTATATGAGTATACTTCATAGTAAAACCCTATGCAACCGGAAGCTAGAAAAATTTGCGTCACCGCTGGCGCCCAACAAAAGTCACTGAACTCGCCTAGTTACATCAGTCCCAAAATTCCTGCACACGCACATCAACGTATAATGTGGGGCTCTGCGCGAATTCGTTCCGCTTCGCGCCGCAAGCGTCGTCACAATTGCCAACCGAGCTGCAGTGATCAGTGATACACGCGCATATAGATTCGCGCGACTCCGAACTCCGAGATGCCTGGCGGTGGGTAAGGCGAAAAACGCGTGTGTAATACGACGATGGTAGTAGCTCGCAGCGATAAGTACGGTATCTGCAGTCTGCACAGTACTCGTGCAGTTCAATTGTTAGGTGCAGGCAGCGTAGCGCAGTCGTCCGGCCGCATTGACTGTACCACTGCAAACATATAATATTATCATCATCGCCGCGAGTGACTGTAGCACCCGACACCCAGCGCAGCGCGCGCCAGGCCGCCTATAACAATAACAACTTTGTGTCAGTGTGTATAGAGTGGTGTTCTATACATGTATATATGCGAGCCGTGTTTTGCACTGACTACTGCACACAGACCAGTGACCACGGGAATACGTATGCGTACTTACTTACGAGTTACGATACACACATTCGCGAGTAGTAGAGCTCTCAAAATGTCTCAACGCATATAGGAGGCATACACTCACACATATTGACTTGCAAGTTACACATGATATTCGCGCACAAGTATGTAGTCTCTGCGCCCGTTGTGTGCAATTGAGCGTGTGTACATTAATACGAGTCGTTCGGTAAAACTGCTAAAGGCACACATATATTCGTGTGCAGCTTTCGTTGTTATAGTGTCGTGCGTGCATGAGGAGTCGTGAGATCATATTATTATAGCAATGTGAGCGACGACATCGCGGCGGCAACGAACGACGACGACGACGACAACGACGTCGAGAGGCGCACATAGCACACGACCAGAGAGAGCAACTCGCGATTATAGATATACAGAAGTACTTGCTAACACTGCATATCGCTCGCGCGATTATTATATATATCCTGTGTCAACATGGCCATGGCCGAAGACAACGTCTGCCGTGCCAATTATCTTGACAATGGTAACAACGATCAAGTGATCGAACGCCCGGACGAGTCGAACCTCGTGTCCGACCTCGAGGACGACGACGACGACGAGCAGCTCGAGGGTGCAGTCGCCCTCGTCAATCCCCAGTTCCTGCTCTGTCCGGAGTTTGAATTCTCGGTGAGTACGTCGAGTGTGCTCCAAACTCCTTCGCACAGAATCTGCGTCTCGATAATCCCTTATGTATCCAATATCACTATAACGAGCCTTTTTTTATGCCGACAGACCAGTGCGTGTTACGTCTGTAATGGTTTCTACGGGCCATGCTTCGACGAGCCAGTTTGCGCGACTTGCCATGCTTTCCTGTTTCCCGATGACATTGGATTACTCAACGTGCCGATTTTCAGTGAGGTAATGCAACTGACTTTGTGTAAATACTAATTGTTATATTTTCAATTGCAAGCATGAAACCTATCATTTCGTTCATTTGTAGAAAACCGATGACGAAGATTCAGGCAATGACGAACCTGTGGATCTTTATTTCAACAATGATCAGAGAACAAGTCGCACAGATTATTCACGAAATTCTTCTCAAGAATCTACTCCACTAGTCTCGAGTCCATCAAATTCTCCTGTACAGAATTTAGGCGCTCATTACTTTCTTCAACACTTTAATAATCGTGTTGGAGAAAGATTGGATGATCGCCAAAATGCTTTACCTGTCAATAATGATGATGCTGCAAATCACTTGGATCACATCGATGACAACCTTGAACAAGATAATCATCAAGATATGAACTTGAATCTTCTTCAGATAAGGCAAGATTTTGAAAATAATCAGCAACTCGATGTTCTGGAAGATGACTTTCAAAGTCCTGAAGATGAATCTTTGCCTAACGATGAACCAGATCAAGAAAATCATGGATTATACCAACCTGCTAGAAACTGTCAGGTATTTGCAGAAAAGGGAGAGCCATCTCGTCTTTGGAATTTATCAAATAGACTGGATATGTTGACGAATTATAAAGATCATGAGCATTATAAAGGACTAAATGAGCAAGGCTTAGTGAATAGGCTACCACCAGAAGTTCTTTTAGCTATTTTCCGTTATCTGGATGATATAAGTTTGTGGTGTGTAGCCAATGTTTGCAGAAGGTGGTTCAATTTGTTATCAAATCACATGCCACCTGATTTGTGGGAAAAATTTGTGAAAAAACGTTGGCCATTATTCAAACCATCCAATGAAAGTATTACTAACTGGTACAAAGTCTATGATAGGCTTGCAGCATCAGCTCCATGTAAAACTTGTTTGTCACAAATATCTTTATATTGTTTAAGACCTTTCAGAGGTGAAGAAAACTCTTGGCGAGGCAACAGATTGCGTATTGAACTGAGAGGTTTAAGGAACGACCCTCCAGAGGGTATACAAGCAACTCCTCTAGATCAGAATTGTTGTCATTGGCAAGCTACTATTACTGGACCAGCTGGTAGTCCTTATGAAGGAGGGTTGTTTTATTTATATCTGCAAGTTCCATTTAGGTAAAGATAGCAATAGTGAAAAAAAATTTTTAAATAATAAAAAGGATTATAAAATTTCATGTATAAAAATTAAAATACCTTTTTCTTTTAGTTACCCAATGAGACCACCAGTTGTACGATTTTTAACCAAAATTCTCCATCCAAATGTATCAAGACATGGAGATGTTGGTATTGATTCTATACACCATAATTGGTCATTAGCATTGACAATATCAAAGGTCTTAATTAGTGTCCAAAGTTTGCTTACAGATCCTTATTGTCAGGTAAGATTGGAAAAAGTATTCTGAGAGATAACTTTTACAAATATTAATTTGAATTTAATATTTCAGGTGTGCATGGAACCAGAATTAGGAGAAATGTATATGAATGATAGAACTAGGTTTGAACAAATAGCTCGTGCATGGACAAGGAGATATGCTACGCATAGTAGCGCTGAGCTTTCCTAGTTTTTGAAAAAGATATTGTTTGTTTGTACATTGTGGCATGCATGAATGAATGCAAATTTTACAATTGATAAAATGAATTGTTTACACATGGAGAATACAATATTTTATCACTATTAGATATTTTTAGTAATATTCAATTTAACACATTGGTTTGATTTGATCTAAATGTGTCTTAATATTTTAATTGAATCAAGTGATACGCGTGCTACAATGATTGTTTAAAAAAAACAAGTTTTCGTTTGTTTTTGTATTGTTGTTATTTTAAAGAAATATCTAAGGATACCATGGAAATATCTTCTACAACAGTTTAAATCAAAATTATCACTTCTTTTTTTTGATTTCATACATGTAAATAGATATTTTTTCAAATATATCTTTATCTCGAATTTCTAATGCTTAAGAAAAATATTTTGTATATACATATGTCTTTTCTCATATTTTGAGATTACTTGTATTTTCTTAAGGATATTTTATAAAAATAATATGAAATTAAATAATTTTGTCAATCATTTTCTGCATAACACTCTATCCAATGATCATGTAACAATGAAAGGCTTTGTGAAATTTAACCAAGTGAATATAATTGCTTACATTTTTTATTAAATAACACAGCTACAATTTTTTTACAGATTTCGAGATTCCTTACATCAAACGAAAGTTTTGCCTTCAAATGCGTACATAAAAATGCATATAAAATAACACATATTAGGAATTGTAATATATGTTGATTATAATTGGTCGAAGTAATCTAAAAAGATACAAAATATTGAATGATTTCATACTGATCCCATAAGTTATATATATTTTACTCAAAAGAGTTTTCATTTTGTACATATTAATAATAAAATGTGTATTTATGTACAGAGTATTTAATTATTTCAAATCTTGAACAATGTTACACAAACATTTTTAATAATTTTTTATTATATAACAATTATAAATTTAAAAACTCAAATTAGACTTTTTTGATACAGAAGACGTCATAGGGCCATAAAAACATAAGTACACATTTACACAAAATTCCGTTACTACACCGAAAATTGAAAAAATAAAAAACCTGTCTTAACTCAAGTTACATTTCATTCTCGTTTCACAAAATATAATTAGTCAAACGTAAAAAAACTACAGTTATGAAACTATGCACCAGGTACAAAGTCCATTATTATGCATCGGATAAACTCAGATGTAATTAGTGCATGTTACAAATATTTCGGACGCAGATTATTTTTGCATAACTAGTTACTGCTGAGTTTTTTTCGGGCCGAGGTCATTGGCATTTCATAAAATACAAGTACTGATGCATTATATAAACAGCTAATGAGTTTTTACAATAGACGTAGCGTTATCTTAGAAAAGTCTTTTTTCATAAGAGAACAGCCCATGAACATTGCCTTCTTGTTGAGCAGAATTTGTTCTCTTTTCGAATCTTAATTCACCATTGTACATCATATCTCTAAGAGCAGCAAGGGATCTTGCTCCAATGTCTTGGCAGCCATGCTTGATTCCACACTGGAGATATGGCAAGAATTTCAGAACTGTACCTTTATCTACAATAGATCCACTGACTCCTTGGGCAACTTTGAGTTTATCCATTTCATTGTGGAAGTAGCGGTCCATGGCTGAACCATTGGCATCTTTTCTGTCCATAGCTTCAATAGAGCCCATACCCCTGTATTTTTTTAGCCTCACTCCATCACTGAAGAAGTACTCACCCGGAGCTTCTGAAGTTCCAGCAAGCAAAGATCCCATCATTACTGCACTTGCACCTATACTTAAAGCTTTGGTAATATGCCCAATAGACTGAATACCACCATCAGCAATAATTGGAACTCCATGCTTTTTGGCATAAGCTGAAACTTTATAAACAGCTGTTCCTTGTGGCCTACCTACTGCCATAACTTCTTGAGTAATGCAAATAGATCCTGAGCCCATTCCTACTCTCAAACCATCAGCTCCAGCAGCAATAAGATTTTTTGCTTGATTAACAGTTACTACATTACCAGCAATGACTTGTAAATCTGGGTAAGTTGACTTAATGAACTTAATCATATCTATTTGGTAAATTGAATTTCCTTGAGATGAATCTAAAACTACAACATCTACACCAGCGTTTACTAAGTGTTGGAGTCTGAGCCTGTCTGCAGGTCGGGTTCCAATTGCAGCTCCGACAAGCAATTGCTTGTTTTCATCTTTACTGGCATTTGGATAGCTGCGATTTTTCTTCAAATCAGTTCTTGCCATTAATGCTATCAATTCATCTTTGTCATTGATAATTGGCAACTTTCCTTTTTTGGATTTTTCCAAAAGAGCATTAGCTTCTGGCAAAGTAACTCCAGATGGAGCAGTAATTAAATTTTTGAATGGTGTCATGACATTCTCTAATTTGACATTTTGTTGGGTTGCAGTTTCATCCAAAAAGTCAATGTCTCTTGATGTTACCATACCTAGAAGTTTGCCGCCAAGTTTGCCATTAGCTGTAATTGGTATTCCACAAAAACCATGAGTAGCCTTAACATTCATCACATCTGCGACTGTGTGATTTGGAGAAAGTACCACTGGGTTGAGAATAAAACCATGTTTGTATTTTTTCACCTGCAAAAATTTATGAAAAATTTAAAATATTTCATAAGTAAGAGTATTCATGTAAGAAATGATTCCTTATGAAAATCAATATTGTATGGACTCATTTAATAGCATTAGGCATGGAAGTCAAGAAATGCAGGTCAAACCGACACTCATAATAGCTAATCTCATTGAATTGAGCAATGCTTTTATATAATTTAATACACACTCCAAAAAGACAAAGCTTCAAGAAGTTTACAAGAAATTAAAAGGTTGCATCGATTATCTTTGTAAATTGATATGATAGCTTTGTAGTGGATTTGTGATCCGACAAAGATACAGGCAAATATAAATCTTGAATAATTGCTAAGTTGCACAAGCTATCGGTCAAGCATAATAAGAACAGTTTGAATGTGGAACGTCATTTATCAAGCGCATAAAGACGTATTTTCTGCCCGCGTATCTCCCATTCAAAGCGTTAATGCGTTACGCTGTGCAAGGGTAAAATAAATAAAGGTACAGAAAAAGAAAAGAAAAAGAGAAACACGTACCTTGTGTACTTCGTTGGCCTGGTACTCGGAGGTGCAGTTGTGATGGATGATGCCAATACCACCGCAGAGAGCCATGGCGATGGCCATATCGGACTCGGTGACGGTGTCCATGGGCGAGGAGACGAGCGGCGCCTTGAGGGTGATCTTCTTCGTCAGTGGCGAATGTAGGTCGACCTCGTCGGCGGTGAAATCGATGAAGCCAGGCAGTATGATGAAGTCATTGTAGGTGAGTCCTTCGCCCGTGGAAAAGAGCTGCATGGCCGTCAGGCCATCTTCGTTCTCGCCGTTGTGGAACTCATCGTTGTGGTTCTTGGTAGCTGGCAGTACTCCGTTGACTCCGTTTGCCATTTTATTTGATTTTTTTTCTTGTAAGGGATAGGTCTATGTTACAACACTTGCTCCGCAGATGATGGGTGAGAGACGTCCTGTCGTGTTGCTGGTCAGCAGCGATGTGAGAAGAATTCAGAAGCTGGCGACGACACGTGCACTGCCAGAGGACACAGACCGCTGTCCAGCTGATGCGTGTTACAACGAACTAGAATTGGAGCGGCAGATTTAAAATTAATTTGGTCGTCTCTTAATTTTTGAATTTGATCATTTTTAGGAGCTTTCTATTTTTTTTTCTGGAAATCATTGTAGCGTGATTTTGAGTATTTTATATTTTTCACTCGTGCGTGTGATTTCGATTCAAAATATCACAGATGTTCGGAACGGAGAAAGAGAGCTGCTTTGTGCAAGATAAATTAACCGTTCGTAATGTGGATGTGTGTTTGCTTTTACCGGTAAGGCGGCGACATATCGACGACATCGCGTGACTAATATTAGTGAAAGCTAAATATCATAGACTTACTTTTTTGGCACAGGCACTCGAGTCGAGCAAGTTCAACACGTGGCTGCTGCTGCTTCTCTCGGTAGTTGGCTAGCGACTAGACGTTGTACGGGGGGGCACGCACGACTCGCTAGTAATATCCTCAGCCGACGACAGGTGCTTCTCTAGCACTAAAAATCTCGATACAATCGAAAATCGAGAATTGAGTATTTTATTTTTCTCCTTGGAGAACTGGGCTGCGCTGCGGGAGGAGAGAGCTGTACTGTGTAAGCCAAGCCGGGATCGGAGCGAGAAGGGAAATGAGCGTCGGCGGTGCTCGCGAGCTCTCTTTGTAGCCTCGTCGAGTGCGTGTCCGCAGCTCCCAACTCCTAAGTCCCCTGTATAGGAGGCTCTCGAGTGCGAGAAAGAGAGAGAGAGACAGAGTCCGGAGCGCCGCGCGCATACAAATAACACTCACGCCTCGATAGAATTAAGATATTATTACGAGCGTGTGTGTGCCACACGAGAGAGAGAGAGAGAGAGAGAGAAAGAAGCCAAGATGATAAAACGTCGTCGCACAAACAAACGGAGCTCCACGGCGAGCGATGCACGAGACACATTACACATACGTTATACATACTCAAATATCGTAATCGTAATCTGCGTAGCTGCAATTGGACCCCCCGTTGACATTTTATTTTCATATCTAGAGTCGTCGCTCGTTCGCGAAGCTCAACAAGATTGAGCGATAAAAATCTTAGATTCGCAATAATAACGAGCCGTTTGTGGAGGGTCGATGAACAGCTATATAGTCCATTATAATATGCAAATGCATTCGAGCATATCGTTTCGTGTGTGAGTATACAGTAGGCAAAAGCGATTAACGTGTGACACGAATCGCCGCGATACATCGTACAGTACTTAGGCGGTGCAACGATGTATGGTATTGCGTATACATACGCGTTCGCCTTGCCCCGAGTCTGAAAAATCCTTATCAAAAGTTCGATAGACGCAATAAGCCTCGCGATGTGCGCGCGGCAGAGAAAGAAAGACGAGAAACAGAGAGATCGGCTCTTAATTGTTGCCGTACTTATGCAGGCATCGCCGCAATTGCTATTCAGATATTGCAATACAAGGGATCTTTCGTAACATCCGTCACGCATCGTGTGTATATAATTCATAAAAACAACGATCGGGAGGCTGTTCAAGTTTATCGAATTTTTCGCGGCTCGATATCGCACTCGTAAGGATATCGTATGTATTATATATACGATTTCGAGCCAGAGTGTCAGAAGCAAGTTTAAAAGCACACACTCGCACAGGCAGTTAAACGGACTGTTTACAAACATTAATAGACATGTGTACATAGGCGATTAACGCGAGAGGCATATTAAAAACAATAACTCATTAGAGCGCGTATCGAGTAGCGTATTCGTGGCGTGCGTCGATCACTCAACGAAACAGATCCATGTACACGTATGTAAGACTCGAGTATATTAGTATATTCATCTCTTCACACAACAAACCATCATGAGTCTCTCTGGTTATTTTATATCGAGTGCTGCACACGTGCGTGAGCTCTGCGCCTCTCCAAGTATATATACGTGTGAGTTCGATGCGGCATTTTATGTATTTAGACAAACATATAATATGAAACGAGCATGATACAGCAGCAACGGAATCTATTTTTGTCCATCGTCGTTCGACTGCCTCGATCGAGCTACTTACCATAATCACGCCTACGATATAACAGATCGGTTAACGAGCACGTTATACCAGCGTCTGTTACGTATACATGCACTACTACCGCAGTCAAGGGCAATAATCCGCGATCGCGCGTAATATTCGCACAGCTCGCTCGCTTCGATTATTCCTTTGGTGCTGCTTTTCGATCTCGACGTTCGCTATATATTATCGCCGGGACATTCGGCGAGGAGGAATTAGATCAAGGAAATTCGTTACCGATCTTTGTTGCGTGCACTGCACACGCTTCGGTCACGTGTAGACGCAGCGAGTGATCGATACAATGTATAAATGTATATCATCATATTTTTAATTGTACGAGATCTCGACGCGATTCCAGAGAGTACGTCGATCCCGATTCGATATTCGCTCGCGCTCGATTTTTATGCTTTATGCACCCTGACGATCTGCTTATACTGTGCTTGAGTGTGTGAAATAAAAATGCACATAAACATCAACTCTCGTAATATACAGACGTCATGGTGCCAGAACTCGCGATTCGCGCGGTGACGGCGAAGGAAGCACAAGAGATACGGATAAAAGTAGTACTTATATATATACGCACGTTGCTCGGCTATTCGCGAGATAAGTGAATTGCACTAAGAAAAGAGAGAGAGAGAAAGAGAGAACTATGTGTGCCACAGCGAAGAGAAGATATTTCACATTACCGAGTGTGCTAATACCGCGCGTCGGATATCGTCGTGTGCACTTAAATATCAAGTATAGCATGTATTAATACAGCGCGTGCATACCATAGCAGCAGCAAGCAAAAGAGCAGTAAGATGAGAAGTGTCGAGCAGAGGCCTATAATAAATGTTGTTTTTTTCTCATTTTTTTCTCATTTTTTTTTCTTTTTTTTCACTCAATGCTACTGCCGCTCTAGAGTAACACGCAAAAAAATATGCGAAATATCATCCATGTGGTTTCTCGAGCAACGTATATATACACATATGCCTCATGGACTCTTTTATTTGCACAATGTTACACACAAACACGCACATGTATACCTATATAGCCCCGAGGAGCAGCTCAGTACTGCATTAAAAATATAGTTGGCGAAAAGCTTCGCTAGTGACTTGGAATATATTTATTATTTTTAGACTCAACTCGGCGATTTTTCATTAAAGCTGGATCTGCGCTTTCGCGTACATACGCACACACACACACACACACATATCACGCACATCGACGTATCTTATCTCGGTAAACAAATTATCGGATTACCATCGCGGATTCGCTGGAAAATATGTGGATTCTTTTTTTTCGCTGCATTTTCTTTTATTTTCCATCGGAGAGAAGAGAGAGAAAGAGAACGCACACATAACTTATAGACTAAAACTTATTTAAAAAAAAATTAAAAAAAAATAAAACAAAAGCGACGAAGTGTACACCGTAGTTTAACAGATATCCATCCTTCGAAAAGTTGAAACGAGCGTTTCCATATTCTTCTTCTCTCTGCTTAGAAAATCGTACTCCCACGGCTGCACTTTTTGCACTTGCTCTGTAATAATGTATCGGCATCGTTGAGACATCAAAAGCATTATAAGAAAAAAATTAATAAAACAAAAAGGAGTCAGAAAAGCTGTTGTACCGTTGAAAAGAATAAGTTGTCGAAGGCCTGCCAGATTCCACCGATCACCTGCTGCACGGAGATGACCACGTAGTCGATGGCGATCTCGACGTAGCTCAGATCCTCGTACGAGTCCTCGTCCTCCTCCTCTTCCTCCTCGTAAAAGAAGTAATCGTAGATGGTGGGCAGCGACAGCACGAAGGCGTAAATCAGGCAGCCGAGAATGACTGTATCGTACACAGATGAAAATATAGATAGAACAAAGAGCCAAGGATTCGCTTCCGAAAATTCTATAAATATATTAGACGGGGAGAGAGATATATAAATCGCAACATCGATCGCTTACTCGGAGTTTTTAATTTGAATACGCGCTTGTCTTCCACGACTTGCTGTTTCTCAATCGTTTCGAGCTTGGCATTATTATCTTTTGTAGCTGCTGTAGTCGCTGCTGCTACGTTTTCACCCTTCGCAGTTTCCGATTTTAATTTCTTCGTGCCGCGCTGCTGTTGATCCGCCGAACTGCGTGCGAATACGCGCAAAGTACGTGCGAAAAAAGAGAAGAAAAAAAAGTTCGATGAGCTTGACATATAAATCACGAAAATTGCGCAACGAATCAGTTATAATAATCTGCGAGCCCCCCCTGTTGTTGTTGTTGTCGTCGCCGTCGACGTTGCAGTTGACATTACTCGCATACGCGTAAATAATACACACAGACTCATACGCACACACACACAAATGCTCTCTAATAGCGAGTCGCATTCATGAACATTCACGTCATCCCAGCAAAGCAGCGGCAGCAGCGTCGGGGGGGCTATATATCGAAAATTGCAGTTTATTACATCCGATTGTCTCCCTCCTGTCGCGAGCTCGCTTACGACTTGTTGAGCAACGACGACGACGACGGGGCATCGATGCGTCGGCTCATCGTGGACATTTGCATGATGCGCGCCTCCAGTGCCAACTGATGCTCCGCGGGTAACTGCCTGGCCAGCAGCAACTTGAGAGTTTCCGGCGAGCTGAGCAGCTCGTCGATCGTCCGCTGGTTGCGCTTCTTCATCTCGTCGCCGGTGCTCGTCGTGGCCGCGCCCTCGTCCTCGATCTCCGTGTCTCGATCGGCCCGAGTCTCCGTTCGCGGCGATCGACGTTTGCCGTCCCGACGGCCGCGACGACGATCGCGATGATAATTATGCTGATTGTGACGATGATGATCGAGGCTGCCGGCGCTGGTTTTGATGTCCCTTTTGTAGGCCGAGGCGGCGGCAGCCGTGGCGGGGGTGCGCGATCGAGGGTCCAAGTTCGAGGTGGCTCGATGCAGATCTTTGTTAGCCGCGCTACCAGCACCTCCGTTGCCGCTGTTGCCGATGAAGCAGCTGCTTCGTCGCGATCGATGATTTTTCAGCGGAGCGGAGAAAGTTCCGGCTGCCGATCTCGTGGCCCCGATCTGGGGCTCCGAGTGAGGCGCGCACTTGCTGCCGTACATCTGCGGCCACAAATACTCGCAGCGGGTGCCTGAACGATACCCGTAGACTCATTGTCAGTTTTACGCCGAATATCTAGATATAGCAGAGGCAGATGATCCTTACAGCAGCAGGGATCCTCGCTGTCTTGGCCTGCACCCGAACCGTAGCAACATTTCCGGCCGTGCGGTGCCAGTGGCTCGCTCGCGCGATGATGCATGACGCTCCGCGGCCGTACCCGATAGGTCTTGGGCTTGCTCTTCGTCGAGGTCGTTTCCGACGTGACGCCCGACGAGTAAGCGTCCGAGTCCGTGCTCGCGTTTCTCGACTGCTGCTGTTGCTGCTGCTGCTGCTTACTAGGTGGACAGCAACGAAATCGGTTCGATTGTTTCTCATCTGTTGCGTGGGTAGAAAATAAAACGAGTCGCGAAATTTCAATTTTTTATACTTTTCGTATAGTAAGATCGATGAGTACCTTTCACGAGTCTCGCGTTATCGTTGTTGTTGCCGTAGTCGAGCTCCTGGAATTAATTTCTCGAGAATTTTTGCGAGAAAAAAAAAGAAGAAAAAGAAAAGAAGAAGAAAATGGCAAGTAGTCAATTACTACTACTGAGAATACATTGTAACACTATACCCGAGAGCAATTTTTCTTCAAATTGTTTTGCTGCGAATCTTCGTCGTCATCGTTGTCGTTGATTCGCGTTGCCTGTGCCGCTGCCGATGATGACGATAACGACGCATTCACGGACGACTCCGGACTGGCGCGTATAGTCCTGAATGGACTCTTTTCGTATGAATTGCTCTGATTCGCCGATCCGTTGACTTCCAACTTGGACGTCTTGGCGCTTGATTGCTGCTCGCTCGTCTCTCTAAAATAGGCGCGTGAGCGTGCGATTTTCGTGTAATTTTTACGATATTCCGCTCCAAAGTGGATGAAAAAAAAACCTACATTTTGACCTGTTGCTGAGTGGCTGACGAGGCATCCTCGCCGATAGCATGAAAAAAACGACGGTTCGCATCTCTGTTGGCAGCCTGAGGTGCAGCTTTCATAAATCTGAAATATAGTGCGCATTGTGCCGCGGTCGTTCGTTTCCGATCATAATTTAAAGGTGATCGAGTTAAAAAATCAAACGATATGACTCACTGCGAATGCGGCAGTTGGACGACATTTTTAGCCGGTTTATTGCCAAGCGAGACGACGAAGGGTGGCTTTGGCTTGTTCATCAACGGGTCGTGCGGCTTTCGCGACGGGATTTTCGGCCACGTCGTGTCAGCTGGCATACTTCGTAACGCAAAGATACATCAAACATTGTATTATATCCGATAACAAATTACTTACAATTATGTGCACGGTTGCATAAAAAAGAAATGAGAGAAAAAAAGGCACTGCACAGCACAATGGATTATGCAGCGCGTGTTTATTTTCATGTGTTTGTATTTTAATCATTTACCGTAACGAACTGACGCGCTTGTCCAGTCCAGGACGTGGGTAGTCTTGCTCGTCTGTGATACAAAGTATAATATTTCACACATTATCAGCTGTTGCATTCCTCAATTAACTTTTGTAAATAACGATGGCTAAATAATTGTCGGAATGGTATCGCTTTACCCCTCATGTTGGATTGGAAATTGCGAATGCTGCGACCATTACATCATCGTTGACACCTCGTCGCCGTCGATGCTGCTGTTCTGAGCGATTTTTGCAGCACGTGCCACGGTTACATCGGGCATTTCTTGATGTGATGATAAATAAAAACTCGTTGTTGCCTTGAGGTTATATGTTTATAAAAAAGGCCTCGATAACCTACCGCGCGAGACACGTTCATTTGTCGGGGGACGACAAAAAAATTGTCTCGATATAAAAATAAATACAATCGAGCTTTTTTTTTAAACAATGGTCACATACTTTAATAAAATTTCTTGTTTTTACAGACGATTCATACAAATATTTTATATTTTATAAAGTTCTTATATTAGTATACTAATTATTTACAAACTTACTTCTTACAATTATCATACAACTCAACGCTATACGTATAGGTACAATTAATATGTCAGACTTGGTCTGGAGGTTGCGCACCATTATGTTCATAAATCGGTAGGAACTGCAAGCTAATTATAACGTTTATTATTTATGAATAAACAATAGGCGATAAAAATCTGTATAACAATTCAGAAACGTACGATATCACATTTTCTGATATAGCTTAATTTTATCTCTAACAAACTCGCAATTAATTACGTGTATAAAATTGACAAACAATTAAGAAAACTTAGTAGAAATAAAATCTCTTCACAACTGCAAAAAACTTAGGTACATGTGCGCTTCTATTTTAACTGTAAAACAGCCATGGAATACAATGAATTTCTCACGAATATACAGATCATATTTATACAGTGAAATAAAAATGGAGAATCTAGTGACTAGGCTAAGAAAGTATTACTACTACTTCAACTGCTTTGAATGTATAAATCTGTTTTGGTCCTACGCACCTTTTCAATATTGCAACGGGAATAGAACAGCACTTTGCATCAATATACATAAATAATTATCACTCAATTATAATTCATAAAAACCATGATATGTAATTATTGAGAGACCTCAAACTTATTAACATTATAAAAGTTAAAATCTTTATAATTAATTCAAGGAAATACCGAAGCCAAGATAAAAGTAAACATTTTCGAATCCGTTTTCCTAGATTTGTAAGGAATTTTTTTTTTTTACGGTTTTTGTCTCAATTTTTTTGGAGCACTGTGGAGTATTCTATAGAAATATTCCGCAGAATTCCAAAAATGTGTTTGAAAACTTTCAGTTTTAACCTGGTTTGGCACTACCTTCAAATTTCAAAAAATTGAAAGATTCTATCTTTTTGTCATTAAGCAAATACATTGCAAATTATGATTTAAAAAAAACCCATTTATGTGACAGAAATAGATTATTTTTAAATCATAAATATTAAATTAGAAGTTTTCAAAAAAATGTTTATCAACTTCAGTCAAATTTAAATAAATCTTTTTTAGAAATTCTTATCAACTGTTAAATATCTAATCAATATGATATTATTGCAAAACTTATAATTAATTTCAATAACATTTTTCTCAAGTATAAATGACTTGTAACAGTAGCATTATTCAGTTAATAAACTTTGATTGTCAAAAGACATTTCTCTTATTAAACATCGACGTAGAAAAAAACTGAACTAGTCGAATAATTTTTTTAGTCAATAAAATTAATTCATAAAAGTAGTTATATGAAATATTGAAAAATGTTTTTTGAATCTACTTTACCATTATGTCATGCAGAGCGACTTCACAATTATTAGAATCTTCATTTTCATTAAAAAAAACCCCCAACCACATTCAAGAATGATCTTGAAAAAAAAACTGGGTATTTTCTAAACAATCTTAAGGAATGGATTCACAGATGCTCTTTAATTCTTAGTTATAAAATAATTGTTCAAATTCCTCAAAGCTCTAAAATTATTGTCACGTTAAGCTTCATGTGTCCGAGGTTGTGTGCAAATAAGCTGTTCAGTTTGATCTTTTTCCGAATCCAACACCCTGATTAATGAAAATAAAGTGTTTAATATAGTCTCTTGAATTTTTTAGGCTTGAAATTTGCTACTTACTTTATCAATACTTTTTTCCTTGAACAAGATTGTGCAATTGACTTCACCATTTCATACATAGGATCACAATTGTCAAAAATTACTACAAATATTAAAAATATCACAGAAAAAAAAGTTGGGAAAAATGAGATTATCCATCGAAGTATCCCATTTTTTTGATCCATGACACTATGCATATCTAGTACAAAACTTGCTGATAAACATAAAGGTATGGACAGCAATGCTATAATTGGTGTTGCCATGCTTGTCGCCCTGAAAAAATTATATGAATCCATTGAATTTTCAACCTTATCCATTAAAGCAGGGTGTTTAAAGATCTTACCATAGCCAGAAAACTTCACAGAATACTGTTCTAATGATTTCATTTACTATTAAATATATCCACTGATAATTATTAGGCCACTCAAACAATTCTATGCCTGTTCGGTCAAGCATATAAAGGCCTGGTAATCCAATTAAAAAAAGAAACAGCCCCATAATTGAATACAACATTGGTATATCAAATTCTTTTCTAGAAGTTTTTGTTTTTACAGTAACTATAAAAATTCCATAAAATAATCCACTTAAGAAACACAGATTTAAGCCAGATGGAAATGTTTTTAAGTTTTTGAAAATTTCTGGAGGCTCAGCTATTTTCTAAAGTAAAAAATGTTTTCATAATTAAGAATTCCAGTAAATTTTAATGCAATAAACTTACAAGGGTAGCTACAAGGCTTATACTGCTAACTATTACTGCAAACATCTCTGTCATATTTAAACGTTGTCCTCTACAGCAATTGAACATTCCTAATAAAATAAAAATTGTGGCACTGCATGATGCTGAAGAAACAGCTAAAGACGATGTTGGTAGTAATTGTGTGCCTTGATAACTCATGCATTGTGCTATTGACCACTGAATAAAACATTTTTCATATAAAAGTGACCTTATCTTTATAAAATTTATAATGTACTTACAAAAAGTGCACAACTAATAGCCATTTTAATATGTTCTGAAATGGGCTGTTTTTTCTTTTTTTCTTTTTCTAAGAGTTCCAAACCAAGTGTTAAATCGTAGCTGAATCTAGACCACTGAGCTTCAGCTGCATCCTCATCAGACATTTGGCGAACTTCTACTGTATTCTTAAACTTAATTGTATTTTCCTTCAATACAACTTCTGCATCAGAGGTTTCATCATATTTGATTGGTACAAATGAAGGGGTACTCATACGAGGAAGACCATTGACATAGAATGTATTTTCATTTTTTTTACCATACCTAAAAACCTACGGAAAATATATTTATTACTAATTTTATAAAATTGATAAAATTATGTATTAAAATGATAAGTACTAGTATTATTTCTTCATAAATACGTCTCCTCCATGGTGACCACATACACCAGCCAAGACAATACAAACTTAACAAGGCTGCTCTAAAAAAGAGGACAAAAAATGGCCTATCAACCAGAACGTACGGCTGAACATGCTGAAAAAAAAAAGTATTTAATGACTTAGTCTCATAGTGAAATAGTGTTAAGCATTTTATTATCATGTACCTTGGTAACTCGAATACTAGCATTCCATAAAATATTAACAATTCCTAAAACTATCAGGCCAGTAAACAATCTTTCTGTTCTCCTCATGGCACCAGTTGGATCCTCCTCATCCAGTTCTTCTAACACTGAGTGTCTTCTGATCTTTGGTTTCTCCATTTTTCATGAATCATCTGATAGATAACATATTCCAATAGCTTGACAATCTAAAAGAAAATAAATTAGAAACTTGGTTAATTGAACGTTTTTTTACAAAAATGCAATAAAAACAACGTGACATTGCAAACGGATGCAAGAAAAACCGCATGATTCATCGACGTGAGAAATTCGACATAAGAAAAGTCAATATTGCAGACGACAGTGTTTACTTTAAAATTAAGAAAACTGCCCAACAAAGGGTATTTGGCTTAATTAGCTACGATTATTTGACAGAATTAAACGTGACGCAGAATGTTTATCAATGAAAGACTCTTATTTTTAATACATATTCATCCAAAAGCTTGTCGATATTATTATGACGACGTTTGCATAAACACACACGCTCACATATAATAATACACGATAAATTACCATATAAAACTGGAATTAGCCTGTTATCGATGGAGCAGAGTCTCATCAATATAATTGCAGGCAATAAACATAAAAACAATAAACTTGAATGATTGTATACACATGATTTACTACTTTATATACCTAGTCAAGTGTACGAAATTTTACACTGTCAACAATGTGTTGTCTCGCCTTATGTAGCTCCAGCTCAGTTATCAACCGGCGGCTGCATGTAAGCAAGCCCAAAACATGTCGTTAACGTACCATTATGCTTACCCCTATACGAGTACTAGATAAGTAATTCTTAACGTAAATGTGTTCAGTTCAGCTGTACTTAAAGAGCTCGCGATGTACTGATACACGTTTCGGATGCACTTACAAGCTGAGCGCGAGTTCTGCTGTTCTGCTGCTGCTGTGTATATCAACCACATAAGCACTGTACTCTCTCTGGGTCATCTGATCCACTTTTGTATATATACCTATATATGTCATTGCTACAGAAGTGCGACCCACGTGACTCTACTTTGAGATCTGCGGCGCGCGCGCGCACGTACGCACACGCGATGTGTTCGTTTCTCATAAGCTTCATTTCATGTAGACACGTAGGTGACAAAACAACGCATAAGGAAGAAGCAATGTTTTTGCCGCGTTCATTGTTATACGTATAATAAACTCTCGAGAGGTGAGATAATCGTACACGCGTGTATTCAATTTTTAACATGTGCGGTATTGAACAATTAACCTTTGTGTTTAATTCGTTGAACTTTTAAAATGAATCCTTAGAAATTTTAAATGCTCGCACGTATAGATACTCCTAAATATATCAAATAATAAAGTATCGGAGCATTGCCAGATGTAGAACGTCGTTGGCCTGCGTGGGCGGTTATAATCAAGCACGCACGCGGTACTGAGTGGTAGGTACTATTTCGGATGTTCACGATCTTCGAGCCATCTGCGACGTGGGTTTATTTATGTTTGCTTATCTACCATCAAGCGTACGATCCAGAAGTCAAAAAATCAATGAGGGAACCCACAGCAAAATTAAGACATGTATTACTCAATTACTCACGAGCGAACAATTGGAGCAACAATAAAGACTCTATTTTTATATATTTTCTATATTTAGTTTTTGTTAGAATGTACGAGACTTCTTCTCGTTGAATCGTCCAGAACCACATTAGAAATTTCGAAAATGTACTACGTATAATCTGTTTCGAAATTCTTTATTTTCGTACCCAAGAAACGGTAAAAAAAGGTCGTTTCGAACACGCACGATCGTATTTGCAAAGGGTGTCGATGGACTTACCTGTTCGACGCAAGTGCACAGGTGCTTTTAGCAGTGGGCGCCGGCGGCTACGTAGCGCGCCTCGTCTTTTTTGTTATGACAACAAAGCCCCGTGCGCTACCGCTGCTGTTGCAGTCGTAAAATAGTCACGCCACTCCTCGCACACATCCTTGAAAAACTCGTAAACAAACGCGGCTACAGAGAGCGAGAGCAAGTTAAACAATCGAACGTTAGGATGAACAACAGTAACAACAGCAACAATATCAACAGAGCACCGATCGTGAACAATGGCAGTTTAGCCGGGCCGAGCAGAGCAACAGCAGCAGCAGCAGCAGCAGCGGACGTGAGTCGTTTTCGTAACGGCGATGGCTCCTCGGCGACTGTCGCTGCTGCCGTAGCCGCCGCCGCTGTTTCTCCTCGTATCGCTGGTAAGACGGAAGACACTGGAAAAAGATCGTCTCTCGAAATTACATCTCGCGCCCCTCCACCGCTACACATTATTATAATAACTTTCATTCGATCTTGATAATGGCACGTGCCGCTCGCTCGGCGACTTAGTGACACACATTTTTCACACTTATAACCTTCGTTTTCTCTCGTCGGCCGTATAAATAGGCGCTGGAGGCGGAGGCACAACGAGTGGCAACAGCAACAACAACAACGGCAATGCGACAGCCACGAGTAACAGCAGCAACGGCAACAACGACGACGACGAAGACGATGCCAAGCTGGAGTTCAACGGCGAGCCGATGGGCAGCTACAATTGGATGCTCTACCGTCGCTACGTGCGCCACGAGTTCAAGCTGTGCAAGCAGCTCATCGACAAGGAGATCGAGCAGTGGGGCGGCAGGTGCGAGTACGCCTATCACATGAGGGGCCTCATCATGCGTCGCGAGGGTAGGCTCCAGGAGGCCCTGGGCTGCTTCGTGCACTGCGCCAGGCTGGAGCCCGACAACGTCGAGAATTACACGCAGATCGCCAAGACATTGTGAGAGGCATCGATTATATTCCAGAGCTCTTCTATAATAACAGATTTTTCATAATATGGTAATGACTCGGTGGGATTTTATTATGCGTATAGTTTTCTCATGGGCGATCAGAGAAAAGCTCTGGAGGCGCTCGAGCTGGTGGAAAAAATCATGGACCCGATGGACGATTGGGAAGTGCCTTACTACATGGGTGGGTATATAGCACGCGTCTGCTATTATCATAGGCATTACTACTATTTGATTCGCGCTGGCAGTCGTGCTTTCGCAACAAAAGTAAGTTTTTGATCCGATATAACAGCCTCGCTCCCCGAACATTTGCATTAAATTCAAAATCTTACTCTCAAAACGGAGCGCAGATGGGGTGGAAAAATAGCCGAGAAATTCGTGCTCCGGCATGTTTAAGAAAACTCACTGCCGCTGCTGCGATTGCAGCCATTTCCATGCCATTTGCTTTGCAAAAAGCTCGCGATCCACTTGCATTAATAAGCAGAAATATCATTCACTTCTCTTCTTTTTTATTATTTTGCATACACAACAAAAGGCGAATGCTATCTGCGAATAAATAAAACGGACGAGGCGAAAGCTCAATTCTTGCGAGCTTGCAAGATTACGCGGAACGACGTGCCGTACGTGGCGCTGGCCGAGCTGCAGGTCCGGCTGGGTCACGTGGTCGACGCCATCCAGGTCTATCAAGAGGCTTTGACCATCGAGCCCGACAACAACGAGGTGGCCGCGGATCTCGGACTGCTCTATCTGAGCCTCGGCGACTCGAGAAAGGCCTTCCAGCAGTTCGGCAAGGTACTGGCCGAGGAGCCCAGGTGCGACAGAGCGACTTTTTCCATGGCTTATATTATGCAGGTATATTATATGATTTATGACCCGATGCGGGCGGAGGGATATCCTTTTGATTGATTTGACGTTTTTCCAGAATATTTTTGCAATTTTTTTTGTCGCGCTCTCATGCACATTGGTTAATGTTGTCGCGCGCGCGTGCATCATTTTCACGTCGTGTTCAATGTCGTGTGCAAAATTTCAAGCGGATTGTGACGGTTCCCACCCACTCTCGCTCTCTTACTTTTATGAATACATTTATTTTATTAAAAGAGAGTAATGGAATGGCCGGTGAAAACTTTTATTTTTATTTTGATTAATTCGTATCTGCACATTGTATGGTTCTAATATCGAGATGAAAATGTTTCGCCGTTCGCTATTCGCAATGATTATAACTTTTTTATTTCAGTGTCTGTAGTTTACTAACACATCTACTTTTAGCTCATTACGCATTTCTGAAACTTGAAAGACAACGAAACTAAATTTTTAATTTTGACGCGACTTTTTTGTGCAATATAAACGACGGCATCGCTCGAGCTCTCTTTCAAAAAATACTTCAAGGCGATCGGGAAAAACGACTGCACGTCTGCGCGTAGTCTACAAATCGAATGCTAATAATTGGTTAACCGAGCGAGGTAGCACGCGCGTCAATCGTAATTGCCCGCGAAATTATATTCATCACCGAGTCGTTCAAAGATTTAATATAATGCGGAGAACTTTTTTTCGTTTCACTTGCACGTATCAACTGTCCGACAACGAGTTTTCGCTCGTTCATAGCACTCGTCCCGAATTAGCATATATTATATAAGTTTGCGAGTGTACAGGCGCGCGCGACAGCGAAGCTCAGCTCGCTCGATCGATTAATCGTTTTAATAATCGTAATTATTCAGTTGCGACATCTGCCACGAACAATTATCACGAGCAAATGTTTCAATCGAGGCGTATGAATTGCATCCCACCCGATAGTATATAGTAACCGGTTAATTTTCTCCGACATTCGATACGTTGTATACGTGCGCCGTGGCGTTTACTGGCCCTTCTTTTATTTTGCGCGAATTAGAGGTGTAATGTAGAAGCGATTAAAAGATCGCAAAAAAAGAGCAATTCGCATTATAGTAGTACAGTAGCCGTCAAGCGCATGTATCATGTAGTTAATCCAATCCCGCCGCGCCCGAAGCTTCGACTCGCACGTATACATAACGTACATATATGAGCAATTCTATAAACAATTCTTAAAATTTGAGACTTGTAAAATGTAATTGATGAATTGAGACTTGTAATTGAAATTTTAGTCGCTTGAAGCATATGATGGACGTCGATAAATGTTCATTGAGATCCCGGAAACACGGAAAATGCGAGAAAGATGAAAATTTTAATACGCATTTTCTACAACTATTTTTTTGGTCTAGAGGGCAAAAAATTGCATTTTTCCATAAATATATCTATTTTTATATGTTTGACATAATTGAAGTCATTTAAAACTGTTCTTTGCCTCTCTTTTGGCTGAAGGACATTAAATGTCTAAAGAAAAATCGACTAGAGTTTAAAAAAATTATATATACATGGTATCATTTTTAGTAATTAATTAACAATACTAAAAATATAGCTATGAAAAAATAACTGCATTCTTGGTAACGGTAGGATGTAAAAAAACTACAAAACATAAACAGTTTTGAGATGATTTCATTTTTATAGACATAAAAAAGATGCGAAACAAAAGCTTAATTAGGGTGAGTGAAAAGTGATTGGCATTGAAAAATTGACATCAACTTGAAAATGTATTTTATTTCCCTCAAAAAATGTATTAACTTTTACAACACTTGAATAATAATGATACATAATGAAATAACATCGAAGGATCTCATGATATCATTATAAATAAATATTTTCAAATTAATCTACTCAACAAGTGAATAAAATTGTATACATCTATGACAATGCGCGTGTTATTCCGTATTTATGTAGTTTTAGTACCACTACTATGTTTTTTATTAATGTGAATCATGAGCCCATTCTTCTGTGTGAGTGACTTTTCGCAAATATCGCATGCACATGTGATACCCTTATGGGCTGCATCAATGTGGCGTTTGAGATGAGTGTTCCAAATGAATATTTTTCCGCATGTATCACATGTGAACGCAAAACCTTTATGCAATGCATCGATGTGCTTTTTAAGGTAATTCTTATCTGAGAATTTTTTTCCGCATGTATCACATGTATGTTGGACAGCATTGTGCACCGAGTCGATGTGGACTTTCAGATTATGTTTTCGCGAAAAATTCTTGCCACATATATTACATGTTTGTTTGGTACCACTGTGCACCGTATTGATGTGAGTTTTGAGATTACATTTTTGAGAAATTGACTTTCCGCATATATCACATGTATGTGCGACACCATTATGTATCACATTTATGTGTTTCTTAACATAATATTTATCTCTATACTTTTTTCCGCAAATATCGCATGCATATTTAATACCATTGTGCATCACATCCATGTGGAGTTTGAGGTAACTTTTTTTCTTAAATCTCTTGCTGCAAATATCGCATAGGTAAGTTACATCATTGATCAAGGTACTAATGTGCATTTTGAGATTATGTTCGTTTAGTCCAGTGAAAACTTACATGGAATTACATTTTTTTGGGGAGAGATGAAACCTAGTCTACTTTATGTTTTTGGGTGCGCTGATTTCATTGCCGATGTTATTTTTTTACCTAGAACATCAGCGTCAGGGTGAAAATCGAGGGTGAAAGAGTTTTTCGCTGATATCTTGCGAATGAAGCAAGATACAGAAAAACTAATTGCACCAATCGATTCCCCGTGAAATTTTACATCGAAATACACTTTAAACTTTTCAAGTGTCAGTGCAAAATTGTTCACAATATTGAAAAATTAGTTTACAGCGGTCGGCACTTATAATTGTCAACACTTACTGAATTTTCTTGCAGAAATGATTGATCATGTTTCTCGGCAATCAATTCATTATCATTCTCTACATGCGATACATCGATAGCTTCCTCTTTCACTCTGAAATAGTTCGCAAATATAAAGTATTTTGTTAAAATGTTTTTATAGATTCATTCACTTCCAATGAAAATTACCTGACAATCCGATTAAGTATGTCACTAAAAGATTCCATTTTTCACACTTGGAATTATGGTAACAATCCACCTTTCTGTGACGATTGTACATATCAAGCTAACCTGTACATGGAAAAACTAGCAAAGTGCGCAGAGCTGTGCTTGCTATATTATGTACAACTGTCTATATCTGTGAAACTTCTGTGCGATCAGCTCCGTGGTACATCGCTCGGTGATGTATTACAGCGTATCAGAGCACTGTGGAAAACTTGCCGGACAACGCATTAGATGGAGAGGTCATGATGCGATGCACAACGTAAACAATAGGATAAGTTCGGATTTGAATGTTTTCGCCAGTCTTTACATTGAATTTAATTTATCTAATATTTATGAAACATCTTATGAAATTTAAAAATTATTAATGCAAACGAAGAAAAACCAAGTCATTATAACTATTGGGCGTCGAACTTTATATATATAGATATAGTAATATCTACACCATTATGGTGGCGTACCCCCCGGAAATTAACACGCGTTTGATACAAATAATCTCAATTAAACGCATTCTTGTGAAATTCGACGAGGAATCCGAATATCATATAATTATTTTTCGAGTAAAATTTTTAAACGGCGCCCAATATGAATGAAGAACTGAAATTATGTATCTCGGATCTAATAAATAGTAAATATTTTTCTATAAATAGTGCATGTTTAATGGAAAAATGAGAAAATAAAAAGTGATTCTCCAATCCGCTAAACAAATGTATTAGTGCGAAAATTTTATAGAAGTTTTGTAGAATTTAAAGTGTTAAAAGCCATTCAGAGAATGCGTGCAAATTGTTAATAATTTTTTTTAAACATTTTAAGGAGTCTGAAATACTCTGAAAAAATTTGCACGCGCCCTTAAAATGACTTTTAATACTTTTTGATGGTTGTTGAGTAAAAAGTAATTGAATTTACATATTAATAGCATATACTTAAAAGTGTTTCAGGTATGTTAAGAAGTGATATTAAAGAAAAAATGTGTTTTTTAAGGAACACAAACAATTTACAGAAAAAAAAACCTATCGAAATTTTCATTATTTTCGTATTTTTCTTGTTCTCAAATTGTAAAGATTTTTTATAGAACTGCTCATATACCTACACATAACAGTGATATACACGTAATTCTGCCATACGTAAGTTCGCCCGATCGCTTCTTTATACTTTATTTTGTGCAGACTCAGGGCGAATTCGACGTGGCTTTTTCCAAGTACAAAATTGCCTCGAACTCGCTGATGGAATCTTGGGCTCTGTGGAACAACATCGGCATGTGTCTCTATGGAAAACAAAAATACGTCTCGGTAAGTCAGCGACCTCCGCGTGACGACGACGACGACGACCATCGCGTCCTGATGGTGGACGGTCGTAGAGCTATTATTTTTATTACATATTAAACGCTTCTTTCTTTATGGCAAAATGCCACTTTGTGCGCGAGTAAAGTTTCGCGCCCAGCTTCAAGCGAGATCTTCCTCCTCCTTTGGCCGTAGTAAGCGGCTGCGTCACGAATTATATACAGGATCGGGCGCGCGAGGGGCTTCATAAAAATTCGTATCACGCAGTGGTAAAGCTTTATGGAGTAATGACCGAAAGATGAGTCTAGAAAGAGAGAGGCCACCGGCTGCCACTACAACTGCAACACTACACCATGGCCTGTGTGTAGAATCAATGCGTCTTCTTCGGCAACGAAGAAAACTCATCTTACAACACGATTCTCCCCCTGAAGCTCTGTTTTTTCTCGGCTCCTCGTCTCCCGGGATCAATCCTCCCCCGACTTGGGATGGACAAATGGTATTTTTTCTTCTTTTCTCGATATAATTAGCACTTCATGTGCGCGCGCGAGCTTTATGCCACTCTGCACATGCTTCCTACTACCTACGTGTGTAGGCCTATTACAGCGATGAATTTACGCGCGTATGAATGTGCGTACAAAAAAATATTAAAAATAAATTGTAGGGTAAAAAAAAATTGTCGTTCTCGCAAAATTCATTGATCTGTAAAGTAACGAGCTACATACCCTACGTGTACAAAGGGGTCATTAAGCATCGCAATTCTCTCGCTCGAGATAAATACAAATCCAGACTGCAGGGCGAGCGACTACTAGTCGTACGTGTGTATAAAATGAAAAAAAAATCGGGACAAGATCGATGGCCCCGTGCTCGCAGCTGGACACGCGCGAAACAAGCCCCGGGATTAGAGCTTTGCCTAGTAGTGCTCTCTCCCTGTATATTCGTTGCCCACCCTCTTTCCAAAAAAAGATCGTATGATGTTTAAAAATTAACAAGATAGAGACACGAGATGGAATCTAAAGCTCCGAATTAAAGTCAGCGCGTGGATGAGACCTCTCCTCCTTTTTTTTGTCTTTTTTTTTTATTCACTTGCTCCGCCTCGATGTCGAGAACTCGGTTTAATATCAACTTTGTTTACAATATCGAAATATCGCAGATATATCAGAAGATTGAAAAAAAAGTTTTATTACCGACAAATAATTGCCTTCATAAGCATTTTTAATTCAGATAGGGTCCATTTTATGCTTTGGTATTATCAACTAAAACTTTCACATTCCAGAAGATATTGATTATTGATAATTAACTTTTTTTAATTACCCTTTGATTTTCAGATAGATATTGAATACGCTAAAGCCAACGAAAACATGAATGTTTAATTACTACTGATAATAAATAATAGTAAATAATAAATAATAATAATAATAATAAATATGCGGAGCACTCATCCTCTACAAATAATAATTAGTAATATTTTATTGGATTATTTTGAATGCATTCCACTATAAATATCGCAAATTCATCATCATGCCTTTCACCGTATTCTCTTTTATATTTTCTGTTTATTTAAGCTCCCCAAGTCTGTTGATTCTAAAACGCAGTAGTCTAATGCGACACTCGATTCACAGCTTGATAAAATTGATAAAGTGTGCTCTTGAGCTCAGCTCATGGTAATCCTCCGAGTCACGTTGCATTTTCTCTCAGCACCCCCTAAATGACTTTTGCACGGTAAAGCCGACTAACGCCAACTGGGAAAGTTCCGCTGCGATGCAAATCTCGAAAGGAAAGCTTTTTTTCCGTCTATTCTATGCATATGTGAGTATGTGCTGTGGGTACGATTTAAAGAGACAAGCCGAGCTGTGTGATTCGGGGCGAGAGCTCGAATCGAATGCGTTCTCGGGGCTGCTATTTATTTTTTACGTAGAAAAAAGGGATGTGTATAAATTTAAAGCAATTATCTTCGATTACACCCAAACGAGCGCAGGTGGATACGAGTTTAAAAGTAGTTCGTGCAAGATATACACGGATACCCACATCGAGCGCGCATAATAGTTTGTTGTTGTTTGAATACCGATTCATCCTTGGGTTAATAAATCGATGGGATAGAGAGCGGCTAAAGATACCTTATTAATGAACGTCACACATCCTGCAAATTTATATAAAGCTCGCTCGCTCGCGAGAGAAAGAGAGAGAGAGAGAGAGAGCGTGACGAAGACAACGTCGACGACGTTGTCGCTAGTGGCAACCGACGATATTTCACCCGCGCCGAGGCAAACTTTCAACTTTGTAACTCCCTTATAAGCAGCAGCAGCAGCGGGTAGTGGTGCAGGGGATACATATACAAGACGTAAGATGTACGACTCGATCTAACGACTCTTGCAGTTATATATATAGCGATAAGATAATTTATACGAGAGCGTTGAAGCATTATTTTTGCCGTCGTTCCCGCCATAGTCGTTGTCGTCGTCGTCGTCGTGCCGCTGCTGATATTGTTTTTTTTTTTTTCACTCACTCGACCCATTCACATGATACGTACGTGTGTGTGCAGGCCATTACTTGTCTGAAAAAAGCGCACTACTTGAACCCGTTGGCCCTGCCGGCGGCCTGCAACTTGGGCATTGTCTACTTGGCCACGGGACAAGCGGCCTCGGCTGCCATTTACTTGTGCGCCGCAGTTTCCGCCGGTCCTGACAATGCCATGCCGTATATGCTTCTCGGATGTAAGTATACATATGTATAGGGAGAGGGAGCTTTATTATATAAAACAGCAGCATAGCGGCAACTCTATTTTCCTACTTTCCATTATGTCTACACGCGCCAAGCGGCTCTGTATTTTCCTTTTATGAAATAATTGATCGAGATTTTCATTTGAATATTTCAGCGAACGTTACCTTATAGTGAAATTAATAAATGTCCGGCGGGATTATACATCAAATGACAAAACATTTTATAATTTGAATTCCTTTTCCGGGACACGAGAATTTTGATTTTTTGTAACGAAAAAAAAAGATGTACAACCGAGTAATTTGATGAATTTTTCACTCGCGCGATACGCGCTTTTAATACAGACTAGACATCTATGTGCGCGCTACGCGCGCATGGAACTCTTATGAGTATTTAATTTAATATATGAAAACATTTTGAAAATAATAATCAATCAAAATATTATTAACTACAGAGGGCGTATATAGATGACACTAAAATATTTTTTGTACTTACATGAAGTTGGCTTTAAGAGGGTTCAATTCGATCTATAATCGCAATGGCTCTTATATTAATTAGATGTAAGAAAATAATATGTAAATCGTGTCCATATTTCTCTCTTGTCTTTTTTTGTACACGAAGTGGCTTTACACGGCGCGCATTATATTATTGTGTGCTCGACAGTGGCGCTGAAGCGGCTGGACGATCTCGAGGGAGCCGAGAAGGCGCTGGAAAAAGCTCACGCACTGGCGCCGCAAGACCCGCAAGTGCTCCTCAACTACGCGGTCATAATGGACGCGCTGAAAAGACACGAGCGCGCCAAGGAGTTTCTGATTATTTTGAACGACGTCACGGCACTCATCGACGTCGATCCTCAGGTTTCTCTCTCTCTCTCTCTCTCTCCTATATTTTTCTTTTTTCACTCGCGATCACGGCTTTATTTATTTTTATAATATCAGCAGTAGCGAATGAAATGTCAATTTAGTTTTTCTCTATTATTTCATTTCGGATGAATTCCGCGCATCTATTGTTAAAAAGAAAGCACTCGCGATAGAGACAATGATGGAGCTATAGCACTCTGCAGCGCTGTATATAAAACATAGTTTCGTTTCGCTTTGATCTACAACCGAAGTTTTATACTTGCATTCTCAATAAACGCGAAACTTTGTCAATTTTCTCTTTGCATATATAGTACGATCGTTTGGTCGTAATATTTCGATAAGCAAATTCGCGAACGTGGAAAAAATAAACGCGTAAAACAGTCGCTCTCTCCGCGAATTCGTATAGTTCAATCTTATCGAAGATTTCGTTGTTTATATTTTGTTTTACTCTTTCGACTATCGATTATGTCGGTCGAATTAAAGTCAAGATTCATCGAGCATTTCGTCGACGCGCATACATTATATATAAGAAAGCATAGAGAAGCACGACGCACGAGAGCTCGCCGAGCTTTATAGTAATATTATATGTATACCACCACAGCGCTTGGTGAGCCCCGCAGGCGAGCTTGTACACAGTAGTAAAAATCCACTTCGCCCAGCCACGCACGACGTATATACCGCGCAGCACAACACGCGCTCACAATTTCCGCCCCGAGAGCATAATTTTCTTGCGCGAGCTTTATACTCGTTTGTGCTTTTTTCTCGGGCGGATTGCATGCCTTAATTTTTTGTTCGTCGCTGCTACTACCTGCCGTATGACACGCAATCATCGATCACGAGAGCTTTCGATACATCAGCGACGCGCGCGATGTGCGTCACTCGCGATGAATCATTATAAATCGCGCGCGGGCTCCGTGTTAACGAGTCTCACATTTATACAAAATACATAACGATGGAAAAGATAAAAGGGACTAATAAATTTTGTTTCTCTGTTTGTGTGCATGTGTATGTGGCAACATCCCGCAACACAGATAACGAAAATGGCCAAACATCTCGCGTCTAAATTGCGAATTAGCGATCCATCATCCAGCCGCATCAGCGTGAGCGGCGGCAGCAGTCCGACTGGCATTGGTGGTGGTGGCGGCAGTATCGGTGGAGGTGACATTTCTCCGAGCCTTCAGCCAACAGCGGCAAGGACAACGACGATGTCGAGGCTGTCGCCGATGCTTCTTGCTCCGCCAGCGCCTCCTTCGCCCTTTGCCGACGAGATCAGCAGAACTTTATCCGAAGACGAGGTTTGAGGAGGCGAAGGAAGTTGAGTAGTAGAATGCGCGAGAGAGAGAGAGAGAGAGAGAGTAAAAGCGAGTGATAAAACGTTAATTTGGTGCAATACTCGACAAACGACTGCTAATGAAAACTCGCGGCCTTAGCTGCTGCCGCAGCTAGTATACAGCTCCGCTGTTCCGTGCGTATCTCGAGAGCACAGCTGCGCCAATCTTTTAAAGCTCCGGCTATATAAGCTGCTACGTTGTTTATGTACTACTTGCGGCTCCGGCCCCCGTTAAATGATTAATCAAGTTTACACGCGTGCACTCAGAGGGAGAGATGGTGACTGATGCCTACTTGGCACGCAAAGAAACTTTACCCGGCTTAATCATGCTATATCTTTCTTTACGCACGGATTTTTAAGTTGATACTTGATTTAACGTGCATCGGTTTATTTTTGTTATTATTATTGATGATTTTTGTGCTGATCGCCTCTGCGCTCTCGATTAAATAATTTGGCATATAAGTAAATCTCGTAATATTTTAATATTTGTGTCAACTTCACAATATTCGCGTGAAAACTTAAAAATTACCATTCCTGGCATTGTTTATGTCAAGTTTTCAACTTTTTCTTTTCTTGAGAACACATTCCAGTGGGATCCAAACTTGAATTCGTACAAAAAAAAGATGCATTTTACGGAGTTTTATCGCATCCTATTTTTAATTTTCAAATTCTGATTCCCGATAGGCCCATCGAGCTTTTTTATCCAAATCATCACGAAACAATCTTAAGAAACTGTATTTTCGAAAAAAAATGTCACTGACTGGTGTGCGTTGTTACCCGCGCCTTCTACACTCGTAAGAAAAATTCAACTCGATTTTTAGTATTTTAATGATTTTTTTATAAAATCCCAATATCCCAATAGGCCCCATAATCCAATCCATCGAAAAAATGGTGTTATCCAGAAATCCAAAAATCGCTCCGAAAATTCTGAAAAAATTCAGGCATGTTTTTTGATCATTTCTAAACCTTTTTTGTTCTATAATTTTTTCTCGTAAAGTTTATGGTTATCGAGTTAAAAATTAGCGAAATCATTTTATGACATACAGGTCTTCGAGAGCCGAATTTATAATCGCCATTTTGAATTTCGTCATTATAACTATTTTACAATAAAGTATACAAGACATTGACCAAATTTATATGCGTGAGATGCACGAGCGAACCTTTTTTCCGTGTTGAAATTTGAGTTACGCGAGATTTTTTTCTCGAAATTTCATGTTTTTTTTTACAAAATTGTTTATAACTTTTAATTGAATAATTTTTTTTTAATTCTAACCCCGGATTCGAAAAGTACGTTAAATTTTACGTGAGAAATCATGTCTGAAAAGTTTTTTAAACAATTTTTAATCTGTGTAATTAATCGCTATAAATGTTGTCCAAAAATGGTCACTTCGGGCGTTAAAGGGTTAATCACAGAGTGGTTTAATTAAAGCTATCAAAGCAGCAGTAGCAGCAGCGGTGGCGGCGGCAGCAGGGGACACGAGTGCGAGTTAGGGAAATCGAAATACCTTTGGTTCATCTTTTTTTTTTCATTCATCCCTGTCATGATGCGTACTTTGAATTTTCTCCGCTGCTGGTCAAATCGCTATTGCGAGAGGATTTAAAATATAGCTGAGCGCGTAACTCGCGCGCGCGTGAGTTTCCACGATTAAAGAACTACATTCGAATTGCAATGCGCAGGGTGTCTCCGATGAATTATACATTTGCAGTTGTTATTATACATATTATTCATGATTATGAACGTTTTGTGTGTTGTATGATCGACGGCAAAAAATGATAAACACAGATATTTACGCTTATTACATGCAATGTTTATTATTAAAACGTATGTTAATTACAAATATCTATTTACATAGCGATCTTTTTTGTTGTTGATTTCTTTCTTTTTTTGATCCTTGACCTAAAATACCGTGTGCGCTTATAAACACGCGAGCCACCATTATTTCCGTTGAATTTTTTGTCTTCAAACGTAAACACGAGAAGCCAGCGTACACGCAGTTATAAAGGCAAAGGACAGTTATAAAACGCTGAAACAACTCGAGCGCGAGAGATGCGCGCAAACGAATTTCCGGTGAAAAGTTAAATAAACGGTAAGGAAGAATTTTTTTTCGACGAGATGGAAGTTGGATAAGGAAGTTTGTTGCACGGGTAATTAGTATAGGACTGGCTTTGGATATAGTGAGAGCAGAGAAGAGAGAGAAAGGGGTGGGGGATGATTCAGGATCGCCGACGTATACGCGCTTAATACACGCGAACTGTGTGCGCACGTATGTAATACGGGGGTAGAGCTCGTTTAAATAACTTACTTATATACACATAAAGTACAGTCATTATATAAAACACACTTATACACTCGCGCAGTAACTGGATTTGCTTAATTCCAACAAATATACATTAGAAACGGCGTGTGTTTGTTTATAGTTTTTTTTTCGTGTTGCACTCATAGAAAATATATTTTATACAAATTGTCAATAAGGCTCGTCCACACTTTATATGATGTAACACTTTGAATGAATTGCCGCTGCTGCTGGTTCACGATGATGGTCGTCGTGGCGCGACTTTATGGCGCTACATCAGACGTAGGTGCTCTGCAGCTCGGTTTGATGGGTGCAGGCGGGCTGCCATTTGGCCACGATCCGGCTCGACCTGAACAGCTGGCCGAACGCTTGGCGAAACTGCCTCGACATCAGGCAGTACAGGATGAAGTTGACGGCGCCGTTGAACAGCGCGAGTATGTCCATGAACTCGCCCATGCTGTGGTAGCAGCTGCGAAAGAAGCAGTCGCCCATGAGGCCCGACAGCAGACCCAGCACGCCCTGCGGGATCTCCGTGATGAGGAACAGCAGGAGGACGGCCAGCAGCATGCGCGTGGTGCGATCGGCTCGGCGCTCCGAGCGACTGCCGCTGGACGACGAGGCCAACACCGGCGAGTGCTGGGGCTGCAGTTGCTGCTGGTAATCCGCTGCTGCTTGGCCGCCGCCCGTCGTCTGTTGCAGAGCCGCCGTCGATACCGGACAGAGGAGCCTGCGACGGGCCTTGGCTCTACTTGATATAACACAGGGACAAAAGTTTAACGCTTTCGGCGATAATAATTTTTGCAACTTGTATATCTTTCTGTAATTCAATCTCAATTCAATCTCAAAGTCAAATATACTAGAAGCATAAGCGAGCGTAACGAAGTGGGAAGGATTTTTGGCTCGCGGCGCCGTTGAGAACTCATACATCGAGTATTCTAATTATAACTATTGTATAGTTTATGAAACGCGCGCTCCAGGGTAAACTTGCTTTTCTGCGGCGAACAAGTACATTTGGAACTATTCCGCAAACATCTCATGTAATTAGGTACACGAGAGTCCAAGGGAAATGCGTCGCATTTTGCGAGTAGCGCGCGGGCATGCCGACATTTCTGCTGCAGGACTCGTAATCGGGTAGTCTTTTCTCATTTCGTGTACTCTCGGCGCACACCTAATCAAGTTGACAATGAAGTGTGCAGTTGGTTTTTCTTCCCTTACTTTTTTCCGTTTCTGAATTGGGTCCGCACCGTGTGTACGTTTCTTGATTTAATGAAAATATATTATGTGTAATTTATTGAATGTTTTGCGATGATTTTAATTTTGCAGAAAAATTTTGCTCTATTGCTCGAACTCGATGAATTATTACCGAGATTCAATGAAAATCATATTAGGATTAAGAAAGCTCGAAATTAATGTGAAATTTTTTGTTCAACTTTAATTGGCTTTTAATTGAGTTTCGTTTGATAAAAAAAAAATAAATAGAACATGGACTGAAGCTCTATTAATGTATCATCATAATTTAAACGAAATGTATTTTCAATGTGATCCAGTTATAATTAAAAGAATAAAAGTGATCCAGTTATAATAAAAAGTAATAAAATAACTCACTTGTACAGAGCCTGAATCAATATGATACTGATGATGGTGAGCACGAGGCAAGGCAGCAGCTTTACCAGTACCCCGAGAAGCCAAAAATTCAACTTGTAGAGCAGCCCTCGGCCGTCGACGCTCGAGCTCTGGCCCTGCGGTATCCTGCTTGCGTCCACGTGGTACAGCACTTCTTGCCCATTACCCTCGTTGAGTCTTTGTTCCCTAATCTGCAATAATAATATGTACGCACACACATGTGCATCCATCACTTCATGAAAGTTGTTCGGTGGCGCTCCAAGCACTTATGAAACTCGATGCTAAGTGCAGCGGTGCCCAGTAGTTTTCGGTGGTGGTTGAGGTGCTAGCATAACTCGACTCACGAGTGATATTATTTAATTGAAAAGTACAAGTGTGTGCGCGTGGACAGAGCTCGTGTTGCTGTCATTACAATTTGCCGGCGAGCCTTACGACAATTAGCGCGTAGTCTGCGACAGTTTGTGACGAATTATTTTCATACGTTGAGAGTGAATATTTTTCGGGAATTGCTTTATGTGAACTTTATATAGTTCTTAGTTTATTTAGTGACCGTAGCGGGTTTTGAATTTGAATTGCACTTCGGATAACTAAATTTGCCGTTGTGATTATCAGAATTTTTATATGTACACGGAAAGCCATTCTTTTCCAGTACAAAGTAAATTTTCCAATACTTCGATTCAGTTTTTCGATTAATAGAATACGTAGAATTTTTATAAAAAAAAATTGTTTTTTTCCACAGAAAATTCTTTGCTCCACGCGACCACGTACAAAAAAAGTCAAACCTAGGGCTCTACCTCGATAAATTCTCGTTTTTGAAAAAGTATTTTATGCGCTCTTTGACAAACAAAGTGATCAGAAATCAAAATTCAATTTTTACACGAGCAAGCGAGCTTTTAAAGGAAAAATTATGTATGCATAAGTGTTTGTGAGAGAGCTGATGAGAATACTCACACCGAAAACGAAGTAGCTTGGCGCGCAGGCCAAAACAGACGCGACGAAATTGCTCAGCAGGGCCACTCGACAACGACTCGGTGTACACCAGCGTCGACTGCACTGCGGAAACCTGTTAACATGGCCATTCCAAAGATGCGCGCGGGTATAGAATACATAATTGATTTCAAAATTTATGGTAGGCGATAGTGCGATGCAATTTTAATGTTAAGATGCCAGGGCAGTTATCGGAAAATTTCTCACCTACTTTTTTTTGAAATTTTAACTGCTTCAATTTTTTTTTTTTTCAAAAGTTTTGCATAAACAATTTTATTTAATCTTCATTCAATCCCATTGGAAAAAATATCAATTTGTTTTATGCAACGGGATCTTTCAAAAAAATTATTTTATTCATACGTCAAATTTCCGAAAAACGATAAGAAACAATAACCATACTCGCATGACAAGTGCATACATTTTTCCAATTTATAAGGTAAAAAAATTCGCACTGCAATAGCACTGACTTTACAACAAACAAAATATCACGTGCATTCCTCGAACCTCGAAGTCGTTCGCTCAAAGCTAGTCTTTGCGAGCACGAGCGATCTTATATTGAGCATCGCTAGATCTTGTACTTATATCCTTCGATGAAAACATCAAAGGAATTCGCGCGTCAAAGACTACGAAGTATTCGGTGCATTTTCTCCGCAGGAAGCTAGCTAGGCTTGTGCGACAGGGCGGAAATCTTTGTCGTCGTGATAGTAGATAGTAGTAGATAAAAGTGTCAGAAAGAGAATCGACGGCGTGAAATACCTGACAACGATGTATCTCCAAACGGCCAAGGTGAGGGTGAGAGCGATGCTGATGGTATGCAGCAGCTGGCTGAAGTGCATGTGAAAGAGGACGAAGACGGCCCAGCCATAGGGGAAGAGTCGATGCTCCGGCAGTATGATGTACTCGTAGACGGCGAAAGGGATGTACTCGAGCATGACCAGCACGTCGCAGCCCGCCAGACCCGTGAGGATGCGATTGACCGGGGCGAGGCGTAGTTCGCGCCTGGTGAGCACGGCGAGATTCACGAGATTCGCCAGGGTGCCGAAGCCGCAGACGACCAGGGCCACGTAACCGTGGTAGCCGCGATAGCTCGAGGCCAGACGGCGGATGAAGCCGTCGCAGGGACAGGAGCCGCAGTTGCACGAGACCGCCGCCGACGAAGTCGACCAGTCGTCGCCGAAGCTGTTCACGTACTCGATGTCGTCCTCGGTGATGTTCAGCCGGCGCAGAAGCTCCGAATTGTTACGCAGCAGTACCTGCTGCCAGGACGATGTAGCCATGTTGCTGCTGCGTCCCCGTCCACCACCTTGTGGTTGTTACTTTCGTTGCTTTGAGCTCGAAATGTATGATCGTGTTTCGTTGCAGCATCGCCAGTTCATCAGCCAATCTGTACAAGGAATTAGTTTAGTGCACGAATAATTAAGACGATGCTAAGCAGGAGATAACTCGAGGCAAGGTAAAATCTAATTTTTCAAATAGGAATTTTACTTTGCCAGATATATGCGCAAGATCACAAACTCATTAAAACGCACGTAAAAGCTCCGCAGCTATAAGCATATATTATGAGAGCGCGTACATACGTTGCATATCTGTTGGAGATCCGCGACTTATAGCGCGTTACATGCATTACGGTAAATAACTGCCTTGCAGGCGATGTATCTCATCTCGTGCGCGCGAGCTCGGGAAGAGAGATGGAGCAAAACATTCGTTATAAGGTCAATGTGGGTATTTTCGCTCAGCTAAGCCCCTATTTTTGCTCAACTTTGAATTCAATTTTTACATGAAATCAAAACTTAATACCAGTATTTAAATAATAAATTTATGTCAAACATGCTCAGCTCAATACGATCAATTAAAAAAAAAATTTTTGTGTTAAATTAGATCTTTAATATTAAATTATTGAGCGAATATAGAGACATGAGCGAAAATACCCACATTGACCTCACATCTGCCGTGTGTGAGCGAATACCCGTTCTCTGTAATGCTATCATTAAATTAACATTGAAGTATTTGGATATCATTGGGATTTCTCGTCTGTATGATGTTTGGTGCAGGGACATACCGCATATATAAATAGTATATAAATGGTTGTAGAAAGGAAAAAAGTCTCAGAAACGGTCCAGCTTTTCTGCCCTGGAGATATGTGCTTTGTCTCAATACAATAATCATTCGACCATTAATATGTGGGCAATTAATCAAAAATATGCGTATCTCAGTGACCCAGCTTACTCAGTCAAGTTGCAATTGCTACAGACCTTTTGAAATTGCGGTATTCCTGATTTCTGCGTGTAACTTACATTTCAACTTGTTTGTTAATGTATTCAAAGCATCATTCAAAAGTGAAAAAAAGTCTATGGTTGTATTATACTGTGTCCAAAGAAATAATTTTATCGTTGTTAGGGAAAGTATGTTAATTTTACCCAAGCTATTGTACCTATGATATTTTCTTTAAAATAAACAAAAAATTCGATGAAAGTTTCCCCTTGCTAAGCATATGCAACTTCTTGAATGGAATGTTAATTTAATATAAAAAAGTAAGTTTTAAACAAAATACATGAAAACCGATAACTTAGAAGGTCTAATTCCACTGCCAGCGGCCTACATAAGCCGGGACATGAAAATATACATTTTTTTTTATAATTGACCATATATAAATATTTATGATCTACGCGGGGAAAAATTTTTGAATATACATAACGACTTAAGTCCATTTTTTTGGAAATCGATATTATGATGAAAAACACCTATATTTAGTGTCTACTTTAAGGTACAAAGGTCAGAATAGACGAATATAGCTTCTATCGTTAGTTTCAGCATCGTGCATATAACGACTTAAGTCCATTTCGTGAAAACTGGGGAAAGGCAAAACGACTTAAGTCCACCTTTGTAAGCTCCAAAATCTTATAGAGAGTCTACTTTGATTTGAAAATGAAAGAAAATGATATTCAAACATATAAATAGCTCTCACATTCTTCGAATGTTGTGAATTTCACTATATAATTGGTACATTTAATACGCGAGGGGTCATTTTCGCGATTTTCAGTTTGGCCTTTTTTCGTTGCAAGATTTGAGATCTGACGGCAGTATAATGTTAAATGAGCTATCTTATCAATGTAAAATCATTAAATGAGGTTGTGCGAACAAACTGCGCGAAATAATCGATATTGAAAAAAGTGTGACTGCCAAAAGTGGACTTAAGTGCAAAGCTTGGAAAGGCAAAACGACTTAAGTCCATATTTTTTGCTCCGTATCATCGCTATGATGCGCCTTTCAATTTCAAAAGTACATAGGTCAAAAGCTACTTCATAGTAGCTTAAAACATCATAGGTTCAGACCTCAACTCGTCCGCGTCTAGTTAGGCTGGCACAATCAACTTAAAACGCGTTTTTCTCGAAAACACGAAAAATGGACTTGAGTCGTTATGCCTTTCCACCACAGATATTTTGTGCGATGTAGAGGAAAAGGAAATAATTTTTTACGTTTCACCTGCGTATAAATATAACGACATCGAAACTTAGGAGAGTTCAAGAATTCGTAAATAATTTTACAAAAAGTCTTTTTATCAACCATTTGTTTTTCAATTAAATGAAACATTCGAATCCATGTCCTTTTAATTTAAATCTTATTCGAGAAGAAGAAGAAATCAGCTCGGAGAAAAGAAATTCTTGTAGCTGTGAAGCGAAATCAGTGATTTCTCATTGTGACAAAGTTCAACGGGTTAAAAAAAAAAGATAAATGAAAAGAAAGGAAGCAAATCGAGTACACATCCAACAACAATTGGCAATACATCAACAGTATGGAGCTTTAGGAAGAGTGAAAAATAACTCAAGCGATTGGGGGAGCACTTTGACGCGAACTTCTATTTTCTTATACATGCGCATTTGATACATGTACACAATGCTTTCGTCTTAATTATATAGAATCTTTGTGAGCTTTTCTAGCTCTATCTCTCTTCCTCTGTCTCTCTCTCTTTCCCTCTTTCTCTTTATTGCAGCCAAGTATTGGCACGCTGCTGTGTGCTGCAAGTATTTGCTACGTATACTATATATGTTGTGCTACTACTCAGGGATGAAAAGACGAGAGAGAGAGAGAGAGAGAGAGAGAGAGAGAGAGAGAGAGAGAGAAAACAAAACAAAATAAAAACGCGCGTGGGGCGGGTGATAGCCGTTTCAAATTGTTAGTTGTGTATGCGCGGGACAATAAAACGAAATTTTCCGATTATTAAAATTTCTTTTTTTTGCATTCTTATTTGTTAACAACGCATTCAAATAGTGAATTCCTCGTTGCAGCTTTTTAAAAAATTTAATTCTTAAAATTCATCAAGAAACTCTTTTTATTTCGAGCTTCAAAGGAGAAAATTATAATTTCAGAGGTTGACTTCCGGAAATTCCAAAGTTTAGCCTCCGCATAATGAAAATTACGAGTAAAGTACTAAGGCTCAAGAAGATAATCTTTTACCAATTATTTGAGTAATTTTCGCCAACCTTCTAACCTGACATGACTCCGGCAAATTTCAGTTTGAATATTTCGTTCTGCAGCCTTCGCCCCTTTTTTTTAAAGCTCGAGAAGTCGAGAAGGTACGCATGAACGGGTGATGCGTATAGATAGGATTCGCGGAAAAAAAATTGCATCGCATCCGACGATGCATTTCGTTTGTATGGCATCGAGGATACATAATACGTACACGACGCAGTATATAAAGTTCGGAGCGAGAAAGAGAGAGAGAGAGGACTGCAACAGTTTCAAGAAGATGTGTACTCGTAAACGCCAAATACGATATTGCTCGAATTTCCCGATTTGTATTGTGTGTATATGAAAGAGAACAGAAGGTTTATCGGGGATCAGAGTCACGCACCCAAGTGCGTAGTTATGCATATATATACTATATACCTATTATAAAACTCGTTCGACGCCTGCAATCCTATAGACGATAGCAGCAGCAGCAGCAGCAGCAGTAGCAGCAGCAGCAGCAGTAGCAGCAGCAGCAGCTTGGAAATCTTTATTTTCGCATCGTAATAATAATTGCCGCTCGCGCGCTTTTCGATTCACTCGTGCCAACGTGTGTGTGTCGATGTGTGTTTGAGTGAAGTTTTTTACACGAAGGGCTATAAAGCATATAATAGGAGCGTATAATATCCTCGCCCACGTGTGACGCACATACACACATAACTCGAGCTCGTAAGCGCGTAATTATTCCGTTACATCGATCAAAGTCGTCGAGTATTGTGTGCATTACATATGGCCGATTCTCTGTGGTTGTCGCAAAATAATTTTTTTGCTGCTGTTATAAATAACTCGTTATTTAAATGTCATATCATTTTATTAATATATATTTGGTACTTTTGAAAACTTTTTTTCAGAAGTTTGGAGTTTTTTTTCTAAATTCGTGGTTTTTCCCCCATTATTTCAAAAATGGATAGCTTAGTTTCGAGTTAAACTGGATGCTATTGAATATTTAGTTAGCTTTTTTGAATATTGTTCAAATTTTGAGAAATAAAATACTTCAAAAAGTTCTGAGAACTTGAGGAGTTTCCTACAATAGAGAGAAACATAAAACTCAAAATTTGTAATCAAGTTTGTTCCAGGCTTCATCGTCAAAAATTCATAGAGCTGTGACGGAAAAATCGATATCGGTACGCTTATCTTGTAACTATATTTGTTTTACTACATCGGTATTATTTTAACTCGTGTAAAAAATTTGATTAAAAACAGTTTGCACGCTAAAGATTTTTCATTATTAATAAAAATATTTTTGTTTCATAGTTTTCCTTTTAAAAGTTAAATAATGTGTACAAAAGTTCTTATTTATATTTCAGGAGCTGTTGTATCACAGATTCTTTCACATCTTATTTTTTAGAGACTTTAAATTAGACTCATAGTTTATAAATGGAAGTTATAGGGCAATCGCCTTAATACGACCTACGCGTGCAACCGACCAGCCAACGTGTGCAACTCCACGTAAGTACATCCTTTATTTCACACTCAAATTGTAGCTAAGGTTTTTGGGTGTAAAAAAAAAGTGTTCATTGTAGACTAGTACGATGTAATAAAAAACAATAACCAACAAACAAAGGGAATAAAATTATAAATGAATTCAGATAATTTTTAATAACAATAGAAATAGATGTAACAAATTCAGATACTTCTTAATTCCAATAAGAGGCGAACGATGTGAAGCAAGAGAATAAAATCAAAAATTATGCATACTGAATGGTGAAGACAGTAATCAAGAGTGCAACATATGATGATGATGATGAAACAAAGTTCTGAACGTGCTTAGAATAGGAGCGCTTCGGAAGATCGCTTCGAAGTCTTGCGTCATTAAAAATAAGGATATACTTCTGTTAAAATAAAAGTTTTCAAATACACTTTCCAGAATTTCCAGTAAACATTTTTCGAAAAAAAAACTAAATCAATGTCTGTAATGTATTTTGTTCACGTAGCTTTTAGAAAATACTCACTGGAAATCCTACAGAACACGTTTAAAATTTTTCATTTTAAACTTGGCTTCAGTTTTTCCTTGACGAATTGTGATAGATTGTGGCTCCGAGAAATGAGGAATGATAGTCCACAATCCAAGCCTCAAACAATCCGATTAATGATCGTAAACATATTAGATCTGGCATATTTAGAATAACTCCTCTTGATGCGCACGTCCGTATATAGTAAGCTCTGAGGTCCAAGTTTGATCGTGCCCGGGTATTCCGTACAATCTATAATTGACGCATTCATAAGTCTTTATAATTTAAGTTTTGAGATAAGCCTCGATTCAGATCTACGAGGAGCTGATTTAGACCAACTCAAATTTTGTATCTTTTAATACATTTGGTAAGTGTACTCAGTTACTTCATTTTCATTTTATTGAATTTAATTTCGTATTTCGATTATACCACGGTTGAAGTGATACGGCCCATATAATGCGATACACACACGCGCTCGCGCTGCGTCGACTCGAGCTTTGGGCGAAAATTGAAAAGGCAAATAATACTCGGTGGCGTACGCAACGGATTCGCCTTGGTAATACGTATAAATCACTCTTGGTATTATTAAAATTACCACACGAGGGTTTGGTTTTGGGCTCGCGTTTAAAGTATATCAAACTTCCTTTAATTATATCTCGGGCAGTTATTCAAACATAGACGTCCACGCCGCGTACGGCTCTACCTCGCGGCTCTCGATACATTATCAAATTTCGCGGCATATAGGCCAGAGTAAATATTTTGATGCGAAGGTAAACTCACAAATATGGCTTTCTCTCTCGAGCTATTTGCGCACGTATAGGTTTCGTGCCCGATAGCCTCTCTCCCGGAGAGTGAGGCAACTTTTTCTCCTCCTACTCTCTATTATTTCTCTCTCTCGCTCAGTTCCAGTGAATCTATAAACCAGGGGTGATCCGACCACATAATCAACATGTTGCGCGTCATAAAACTTTGATTAAATTTCGCGTCTTTTCGATTAAATCCCGCGCACCATTACGTATATATACTATATGTATATGAACCGAGCCTCGAGTCCAAAGCTTTTATTATTCCGCTCGTCTATGTCTGTCAGACCTTATACTTTAGTCAGTTAGCGGAGGAAGGGGCCGGGGGGGGGGGGGGGGGGGNGGGGGGGGGGGGTGACTCGACGCGTCGAGACGATCTTTACTTTTTTTTCTAAACATGATTTTACGATGAGTCATTTTGCGTATATACTATCGACAGGTATCCTTTCCTTTTTTTTGTCTTTCTCTTTTTCTCGCGCAATTTCCCTATTTTGTTGGCAAATTGAATTGGACTATTATTGCGAAAAACCTCCCGCGTGCGCTTGAGCTTTTTTACACGATGATTTATCGTGGGCGCGCGGCACGGATCGTTGACACGTTTTCGGGCCAGAAACTTCTGAAGATGTATTATTTTTTTCTTCTTTTTTTTGGTCTTCGAACCACGACGCTGGTTTCCGGCGAAATTTTAGATTTCCACGCACGTATACTATGCAAAAGAAAAGTAAGAACGGAAACTTGCTCTCGCGCCGGAGCTTATAATCGTATATATATGGGTCAAAATAATACTTTTTTACAAAACCATGCGCACGTATGTCACCGATCTTGACGCGCTTTTGGTATGTTATAGTACATGGTAAAAAGGTCACAAAAAAAAATTTTTAGACCCCCTCCCCCCTCCTACCCCCCACTTCCGGTATAAACGTCCATTTTCGATCTATATTTTTTCTGAGGACATGAAGCAAGTAAAAAATCTGAAAAAATTCATAAAAATACTTTTCCACAATCCAAACAACCTTGAATTTTTTCAGATTTTTTGAGTGCTTCAGGCCTTCAGAAAAAATTATTGAAAATTTCAAAAATCGAGATACGGCGGTATGAGCCGATGTAGTACTCGGAAATTTTTTCAGTTATTTTTCGCATTAAAAAACATAACCTCAATTTTTTTCAGATTTTTTCAGATTACCTAACGCACCTTTTGAAGCCAAAAACCGATTTTTTTGACGAAAATAATTTTTTTAGGACAGTACGGAGCCTCGAAAAATCTGAAAAAAATTTTTTCTTGTTTTTTTCATCAAAATACGTAATCTCAAATTTTTTCAGATTTTTTAATTGAAGGCGATAGCTTCTAGGGCCGAAAAATGCTATTTTTAACAAAAAATGGTTCCTAGAACCCGATGGTTCCGGTGAAAAAATTTGAAAATATTTTTTTTGAATTCCTTGTCAAATTTTAATAAATTTTGACCGTTTCAAAAGTTCGATTGAAGCTTCCTAGCTCATTTTAGAGCATCAAACGAGTTTTATCATTCCTTAATGTCTTCAGAAACGTCTTCAGATATTTTGCACTAATCTTTGTCCTGCTCTAAAATGAGCTAGGAAGCTTCAATCGAACTTTTGAAACGGTCAAAATTTATTAAAATTTGACAAGGAATTCAAAAAAAATATTTTCAAATTTTTTCACCGGAACCATCGGGTTCTAGGAACCATTTTTTGTTAAAAATAGCATTTTTCGGCCCTAGAAGCTATCGCCTTCAATTAAAAAATCTGAAAAAATTTGAGATTACGTATTTTGATGAAAAAAACAAGAAAAAATTTTTTTCAGATTTTTCGAGGCTCCGTACTGTCCTAAAAAAATTATTTTCGTCAAAAAAATCGGTTTTTGGCTTCAAAAGGTGCGTTAGGTAATCTGAAAAAATCTGAAAAAAATTGAGGTTATGTTTTTTAATGCGAAAAATAACTGAAAAAATTTCCGAGTACTACATCGGCTCATACCGCCGTATCTCGATTTTTGAAATTTTCAATGATTTTATCTGAAGGCCTGAAGCACTCAAAAAATCTGAAAAAATTCAAGGTTGTTTGGATTGTGGAAAAGTATTTTTATGAATTTTTTCAGATTTTTTACTTGCTTCATGTCCTCAGAAAAAATATAGATCGAAAATGGACGTTTATACCGGAAGTGGGGGGTAGGAGGGGGGAGGGGGTCTAAAAATTTTTTTTTGGGACCTTTTTACCATGTACTATAACATACCAAAAGCGCGTCAAGATCGGTGACATACGTGCGCATGGTTTTGTAAAAAAGTATTATTTTGACCCATATATATATCTATCTATGAGTTTATATGAGAAGGGATAAAGTCAAGCTCGCGTCAGCAAAAGGATTGGAATGTTAACGAGGGAGAGACGAGCTGTCGGCAATTTTTCTCATCTTGTATTACTAAGCGGGAACGTTTAGCGCGCGAAGTGTTTTCAACTCTCGACAAATCGACGCTTCGAAGAAATGAGTTTTCCTTAATCGCGACTGTTACAATGTATATACACGATAGAGAAAAATAAATAATGACTTTTCAGCTCTGTGTGCACGTGCAATTGCTCTAGCGAGATTCTTTGACGTTGTTCAACGTTGATTTGTATTTTTTATAACAAAATTGCGATGGAAAAAATTGCAGTAAATTGAAACCAACGGATTCTTTTGATTAGAAATAGTTGTACTGCGTGTCTGCTGCTGCCGCAGTTGAAGCTGTAGGAATGTAAACGTTCATTGCGGCTCAATGAGTACGAGTGACAATCGAGCTTTTTCCTCACATTTTTCAGCGTTATTTTTTTAAAAGGAAACAGAGACAGACAGCAAAGCTCAGTGAATCGGATGCCCGGGCTCGCGCTCACATTGAAAAGCAAATCGATGAAAACGAAAAAAAAAAACTATAATCGGTGGGCAGGTGGTTGGAATTATTTTTTTCCCCACGAGTTAATTGCGTGCACTGTCGGGCCGGAGAGGATATTGCATATCAAATAAATCCAAATTCTAGCTTTACTTTCAGCTCGTCGCGCATTTCTACATACGTGCAGCGCGCGTGCTGGCAATAGAGATTCACCGCAAAAAAGTACCAAAGTGTGCACAGTACTTACCACATGACGCTCACTGTCGATCTAAGCGTATCGAATCCGTAATTGAATTGCCGGACGATCGACTGCTGCAATGGATGATCGATCGATGACACACAAATTTCGACGTTGAAAAATTTGCTCGTGCTCACTGCACACCGTGAACGCGAGAGACCCAGAGAGCGAAGACGAGAAAAGAAGCACACTGATCGGCGCCGGGTGAACTTGCAAGCTGCAAAAAATTTGAGCGCGTAAGCTCTGACACTCGGTCGGGGCGCCAAAGCGATACTGACGCGAGCGAAGCAATAACGAGTCGTGATATAGGCTCGGTATACGGCGGCAGCGGAGTGCGAGTGAGTATACATACGCGCTCGCTCGGAGGAGGATCGACTGGCACGCGCAGCGTAACTCGAGGGAGGACTCCTCTATATACGCGAGAGAGTTGCAATGCTGCGAGGATATAGCGAGAAAGTGGGAGCCGCGTGTGCGACTGCTGCGCATGGCTCGGCCGCGCCACCGATCTCCGTAGTCGAGCTTTTTAGTCCTACCGTTGCTGCCATTGCTCGATCTCGAATCATTTTTCCTCCCTTCGGGACGAGGGTATATACAAGCGTTCAACCGTGTGTGTGTGTGTGTGTGTGTGTGTGTGTGTGTGTGTGTGTGTGTGTGTGCACGTAAGTTCGTTGGCACCTTGCGGCTCGCTGTTGCTTCGCACGAGTGAAAGCGAATATAAGACATTATCTCGAGACGTATTTTTCCGATAATGCGAAATCGATTCACCGAGAGCATTCCGCAGTTATAATGCGCCCACACGTGAAATTAACTCTCGAGACTCAAGCGTTGTATAGACACAACACGGGCTATATGTACGAGCCGTATCGGGCGGAGGGTTCATTTTCGGTACGTATATCACGTCTGACGCGCGCACGTCACACACAACACCTATAGGCGTTAAGGAGATAAAAAAATAAAATACACCGGGGCTATAATATGTGTATCACGCGTCTTATACAGCGGTATACGCCGATGTATTATACAGCTTATTAACCCGAGGGGTCAAGTTCGATCGGCCTCCTCGTCGCCCCTTCCGAAATGACAATGAACTCATCTTCTTCTTTTCTTGCATGATGTATATGCAGTATTTTTTCACTCTCCCTTTTTCTCTCTCTCTCTCTCTTACTTTCTTACACTTGGACCGTTGTCGTGTGTTTAACGCACCCCCTCGCAGTCGTTCGATCTGCACGTGAGTGTGTACCTGTTGTGCACACGAGACCGTGACGTACAAGCGTCGACGACGACGACGACGACAACGACGAACAACAACGAGAAAATCCTTTTACGAATTGTTTCTCCTTATTTTTTGTTGCTTTAATAGCTTTTCGTTCTCCCGTGAAGAGAATTATTTATTTTTTGCACTCCCCGATCTCTCCAAGCTTCCTTTGTTACTCTTTCTGCTGACGCTGTTGCCATAAGCTGCTGTGGCTATACAGGCTCATGCTTGCAAGCTCAATAGAGAAAGAGAGAAAGACCAACGAAATAAAAAAACGATCCTGAAACCTGCTCAAACGTGACTAATAATGTAATCCTTTATACTATATAGAAGATGTGGACCGAGGACAATTCGATGACAACGAATACGGCTGCCGTGGTAGGTCGACACCTCGTGCATCACTACGACGCGCATCTCTATACAACACCTTGATTTATCGAACCACAGAAAAGAGATATCCAGGCGATTACGTGCGTCAAGTCTGCAGCGGCAGCCGCTAGTGTGACGGGAAGGACGCATGTGTATATATGACAAGTGTTGAATCCGTACGCTATAAATCAGAAAAATGCCTAGCTCCAGCTTGACCAGTAGTGCCTGCTGGTCGGTTACTCGTATATTAATAGTTTTCCACGCGACTATATAGCAGCACGCGGAGCTTGCGACGTTTATATATAAAAGAATTTCTAGAATGGCCGTGCTTCGCTACCGCTTCTTTTCTTCTTCTTTCGCAAAATTTAATAACTCCGGGTATCAGACGAATATATAGCCGCAAGGCACTTCATATTAAATGTGCGCACATGCGGCTGGCTATATACGTGTGTGTGTGTGTGGGTGGGAGGCTATATCCTTCGAGCTGCACTCTACAACTGCCCCCCCGGAATGAATCACTCACCGCTAACGAGATATTATCATTTATGTATACTGTACGGCCCCATAAGCGCCGCGGCAAAAGCGATAAGACTTTACAGTCGCGTTTATCAACCGGAATACGTATACGCGGCTGGGAAGATCTCTGCCGAGCTCATAATGTGTGTGTATGTGTGTATACGGAATTGGCCCACAAAATTCCCCAATTCTAGATATGCGTTATATCTCTCGTGCGGTGGAGCTTTTTTCTTTTCCTCCTCATCTGGACGTCGCATTTTTTGCAGCTGGACCACAGCGAACTATTCTCGAGCCAGCAGCAGCAAGCACCACTATATGCAATCTCTATACAAGGAAATTTTTTTACGGATATAACGCACGCTCGAGAGCGGATGAGAGGACCCGACATATCTCTGCCCGGGCTACTGTGTCCACCTTTCATAACATGCAAATATTCTCTCGGGGACCCCTCCTACACCCCCTTACCTCGTCGACGTCTCGTCGCGAGCTGCGTCGTTTTTATTTCAATTTCATTCGCCGAGCTTTTTACTCTGTGCCCGCGCGCCTAGCGACGAGCTTATATTGCCCGAGCTTTCTTGACAATTTTCCCCAGGAACATGAGCTCAAAAGAGCAAGAGAGGGAGCTAAAAAGACAGCGAGAGAGATACCAAATATTAAGACGATCCTCGCTGACTTTCAAACGATAACCATCGTCGTGTCTGTGTGCGTGAATGCGAGTGTGGTGGTGGTGGTGGTCGCTCAGTAGTCGCGTTTTATTGAGCTATTTAGTTTCAATGCTCGCGCGTTCTTACTGCCGCGCTGCAGTTTTTCAAATTTTGCTGAATGGATTGATTCGACGAAAGCTCGGCTCACGAAAAAAAATCTTTTCCCCGCGCAACGAAGCGAATGGGCAATTTTCCATGATAGCTGCCACTGCCATTGACTTTACTATGCTGCTGCGTAACAAAAACGAAAATACAATGGACAGACAACTCGTTTCGCACGTGCTTCGAAATATTTTATGGACATGTTTTTCGGCCGGGGCAGAAATGAACATCGCTATTTTCAGTTATATCGTTATAAAGCTATCCGGTAAATATTGTTTTACTTTTACCTGGAGCGGAATAACAATAGCACAAGCGTAAACATATACATTAACAAAAAGGAGTATATTTTGTTTTATTTTCGAATTTACGTACACGTCGCGAATGTGACGATAAATAAAGATGAGATTTTAGTCGCGAGTGGACATGTATTCGAGATTGTCAGTTAATTGCTCCAATTACTATACATGGCACTCAACAATAACAAGTCGATCAAAATGTAATATGTTTTAGCTGTACGAGGGGGAAAAATGAGCGCAGAGGCTCGAACACAGGTGCAGATAACGCGCGTGGCAATCGCTAATACATACACAAAGTCTGCTGTACATAAAAGTTGCATACATCCTACGATAATGAGCGATAATCCTCTGCAGCCAAGTTTCTTCGCGACGAAGGAAGAAGTTGCTTCAAAAAATATCGACGCCAAAGCTCGACGCGACACAGGACGTGGGAGCGTCTCGCTTCTCTCTCGCTCGCTCGAAATCATCCATCACGAAGCAGCGCGCAAAAGATTAAGGAGGCAAAACTGTCTAAGAAAGTAGATGGCTAATCGATATTAATAGATCTGGCGCGAGCTCCAGCAGGAAACTGAAGCGGGGCGCAAGAAAGCTCGACTCGCGGTTCTTCATATACACAGGCGTATAACGAACTCGCGGAGACACGCAGGGGCGGGGGAGTCAATTTTTTCAATTACTTTTATAACTCTGGCCGGTGCTGCTACTGCGCGCGTCTCCTTTTCCGCGCGCTCGACGTAGAGCCGCGTCTTTTTTCGAGCTCGGGGCCATAAAGCAGCATTTAGATGAGCGGATTGTTAAAAGGATCCGCCGCGTATATACACACAGAGAAAGTTGGTATGTAAGCTTCGCGTCGCGCTTCTGTTGCAGTTTGATACCGCTTATACTTTTCTTTCCTTCCTCGCCTCCCTCCCTCCTTCTGCCTATCTTTTCTCTAGTTGTATATTATATGTAAGGCATGCAGCGATGTAGCAGCAGCTAGCTCCATTGTGTTTGTAGCCTCTCTCTCCCTCTGTTTGACGGTCGTCCCTTATACTCTGCTTTTCTTTGACATTTATTCCTATTCCGTGTCCGAGTAAGTTGCTGCTGCCACGTGCAGTGAGCGTCGGACGGCTGGAGGAGCTTTGCGCTCTGCATTATACTAGCTGTATATATTTACCGCACACTGCAAGTCGAGCTCGAAATTGTTTCTTACGCCGGAGCGAATTGAAGGGCTTACATAACGCCGCTGCGAACTAATACGGTATTTCATATTGCGCATCTTGAAACTCGACGCCGAGTCGTGTTAGTTCCGTAACTTGCATTATACAGCGTCAAACGTGTAACAACAATAACAACAACATGAATCTTACAAGGAGACAACATTAAAGTAAAAACGAGACGTAGAAAGGAAAAAATAAAAATAAAAACAGGCTAGAAAAGATACTGCGAAAGGCGAAAAATGCATGTACGGAGCGAGTGCGAAAGTTCCGAATGTAGAGCACGTATGTAAGCTGGATGCGTTTTGAAAGTAAAATTACTATGTAAGAGTAAAAGCTCACGCTGTAGTAGGTAGGTAGGCCACGTGGAAACGAAGACGCGCGATGTGTGTGTACGTGCGCAGAGGCGTGAGTATAATACGTTCGTGTTGCCGCGCGAGCGGCAAAGGATTTACAGTGCAGGCAAGCAAAGCTATAGGGCGGCAACCCGTCTGGGAGGAAACATAACGCGCGCGAGATGTCGATCTGTCGAGTGAAAACTGAATTGCAAGCAGCTTAAAATATTAGTGTATTGTAAAGCAGCCCTCGAGGAGCTCATCAGTCGTCTCGTTACGAACGATTAGAGTTCGAGCAGGGAGTAGTACTATAATACCCCGAAAGGTCACACAATCGTCCCTTGACGTATACGTACGGCATACGTATGTGTGTGCAGTTGTAGCTAACGACCCGTGCACCAGCTGCACGGGGCATATAAACAAACGCATAATACCCTCCTTACTGTATGTACATCGCGTTACGTTACGTACTCGGTACCCTCCCCCCGAGCTTATCGCGTCTT